GCTAATTCAAATGTCATAACACTCGATATCTATCGATATATAGTATGTACAGTGCAGGCAACAAATTAGCACTATTATTCATTTCGAGCTTAAAGTCCATTTCTCTGATTTCAAAAAAAAATATCGATAATGAAAAACTCCATTTAAAAAAAGGCTGTAAAACTGTCGGCAAAATTTTCACATCGAAAAAAATCGTTTGTTGTTAGTAAGCGAAATGGTTTTCGATCTGAGCACTGTTTAAAAAAGAACTGCTGTTGGAGTTGCTTGACTTTTTCTTTGTGTATTGGAAAATGCACTTAATTGCTGATTTACCGAGTAAGTATAACTCTTAAAACATTTTTCGATGTTAAAACATTTTTCGATGTTTAATAAAAAGTTTCTTTTCATTACAAAAACAATTTGTGGCAAGTAGTTTTTATTTTAAAGCCATAAAATAGAGTAGCTCTTTCAATTTGCACTGTTTAGACGTATAGTTTTTAATTTTCATTCTTAATAATTGTGTTAATTAGTTCATTTTTTATGTACATTTATACATATAGACAGACAAGCAAAAATCAAATTGGGTTGCACGTCCGACTCGAGTAAATTTGCCTTACAAATGTTATTTGTAAATAGCAATGCAAAATGAAGTGCAAAAAATTTCTTTTTACATATGCTCACTAACGAAGTTATCAATCGATTGCAATTGCAATCACAAACATCAAATGAATAAATTACATACATTCATTTCTATAGTATAGTCAGTTATATTTAGTTACACAAATATGAATATGATATACATATGAGTGCATGTCCCTTGGGTATCCAGTTGTCCAATTATTCAATTGAGCACGTAGTCGTAGCCAGGCATTTAAATTGGATTATTCCTTCAGCTTATTCAGCAATTTCTATAGAGAAGAGTTACTCACATAAGAGTTAAGCCTAATTGCCCCATTTTATAGATAAACTTTTGCATGTGTTTGATTTTAATAAAAACTACAAATGAAATTATGCAGACAACTAAAATTATGAAATACTGGGTCGACACTCTGAGAAAACAATGTGCCGAAGTTACAATATTTTACACTGTTTTTAAACAAATATTGAAAGATATGATGACAAATTTTAAGATCACCACTGTAGATCCAAATAAAACGAAAAGCGATGTTATTTTGCAGATTAGCAGAATTTGTAAGTCTTGAAAATATTTAAACTATTGCACTTTAAGATGCAGAATTGATCTACTGGACAAACTATGAACAAAATAAGCTACGCATCAGAGCAGTTAAGTTTTGCCAATATTAACTATAATTTTTAGATTTTTCATGTGCAAAATAAGCCACTATCCATTAAGAAATCAAATTATGTATGCAACATTTTTACTATTTGAGTTCATTGCATATATTTGGAATATTATTATAGGCGACGAAAAAACTTCTTTAAAATGTTTGTTTATTTAAGAGCTGAGTTCAGAGTATATCCAAGTCGATCTTTCTCGACTGGTGCATTCTAGCCATCTTTTGTCGTAAATTTTGTAAAGTTTAAATACCTGGTAAATAGTTGTACACATAATGTAGTATTTAACTTACAATTGACATTTAAGCGAAGCATTAAATTCTGACCTTCATAGAGACGATCAAAAATGCATTTATATATTTTAAATGAATATTATGATGCAGCACTTTTGAGTACCAAGTTGAGATGTGTGCGAGCTGACTAAGCCTCTCTATAATCAACTGGGCCCAGTCCGCCTCACTCTCGGCCCCGACCCGGAGCCCTTGGCCAGGCCAGACCACACCAGGCCTGGTCGTTAAGCAAATTTAACTGACAGGCAAAAGGCGGCAACGCGGCGATCCGAGGCCACCAACAGACAGAGCCTGACCACAGCCAGCGATGATGACGACTAACAAGGACACAACTATGGACGACATTGGTCTCTTTATCGAGAGAGAGAGAGAGACAACTGCCGTCCGTATTCTATGCAATATGCAGAGTGAAATGTTTTATTTACCTTATGCACAAAATAAAAGCAGCTAAAAAATGTGTGGGGTGGAAATATGAACAATAAAAAAAAATGCAAAGAAAAAAACCACAAAAAAATCAGAGTCAATATTTGCTCAAAGTCTTGCAGCCGCCGCTGTCAAGGACTGTTGTTTTGGCTTTTTGTAAATTGCCCACAGGACTCAGGCAGACAAACATAAAATATGTAAAATGTTCAGCCGCGTAGAAAAAAAAGATTTATGTGTATGTCTATGTATATGGATATAAAGCATATTTGATCTGTGTTTTTTTAGTCCTTCTATATATCTGACATTCTATAATAAATTGACTGCTTTCGCAGAGCCCACATTGCCATTAAAGTACTTCACTTATACCATATAAAAAATGCAATTTCACTAATAATAGAGAAAAGTCTTAGAAGTCATTAAAAGAGCATTCATGCCGTCATGTACTCATATTCGGAGAACTTATTTTTACGGCATTGTGTTCGTTTGCTTAATGCAAATGTTCAATCATTTTGAGACGTCCTAATTTGATGTACAACAACAGTGCCAAAAGTTGTCAGACAGTCGTCCATAAAAAACAAAGGGAAGGGAAGGTAAGGCAAGGAGAATAGCAAATGGAATGTTTGTTTTTTGTGTTCGACAGGTACAGGTAGAGGAGGAGATTCGAACAGCTTCGATCGATTGACAAAAATTTATGGGCTCATAAAGATTTCAAGCGAAACTCATAATGATAAAGTGCCCAACCGTCAGCTGATGTCGCCGGCAATTGTGCAAGACCTGCGAGACTTGCACTTAACGGCAGTCGAGCAGTTTCTCAGTTTCTCAGTTTTCGCGTCTCCAACGCAATATACAAAAAGTGACAAACGTGGGAGAACAACTTTCAACTTTTCGCCCGTTTCCATAAACTTGTCAAGTGCGATTTTAAAAGTGGCTGCAAATATCAAAAAATTCAAGTAAATATGCACGGTTAGGGAGAGCTCGACTGTGAGGTATCCTGAACCCGAATCTTAGATATTCATACAATTAAATATGATCAACATACTGTATTTCATACCAACTGTATCGTTGAAATTGACTTTTAATCAATAGGAAATCGATAAAATGCAATAACTTTCAACTGAATGAATTTAAAATCTCTATATTTATAGTGTTGGACGTACACAAATTCAATAAACTCTTTTTTCACCATTTTCAATGAGTGAGGGTGTAAAAATTGAAGAGTTAAAAGTTAGCTTTAGCATTTGTGTCCCTTTCCCATGTAATCCATGATGAAAGTTCTTTACATATACATATTTCCCTACATATACATTAGGATTTGCTGTTTGAAAGCAGTCAAGTGTCGCAGCCGGCAAAACTTTGTTTTATATTAGACTGAACCTGATTTTTAGAAAGGTATATTAGTTTTATGAAATGAATATGATTTTACTGGATTATACAAACGTTCAAAACCCGTATAGAAGAGTTTTACAAAGGCATAGTTATATAAAGAGGTTGTATTTTATTAGAAGTCTCAATATAGCAAATATACTATATATATATAGTTCACACACATATACATATGTTTTTTGTTACTTTCTTGAAAACTATAAATATATATATATATATACCGCAAATATTGGACCACAATTTAGACGGGACTGCTCGACAATTACCTTAGCCAAAGTTGTGCACAAAACCAACAAATGCAGTTTTTGTGTTGTTCCTCTTGTAATAAAAAACAAACAAATGTGTTCAAAGGGGTTAAGGGTTTGAAGGAGTGCGCAAAATGTCAGCATTGTAACAAAAGGCAAAAGTTTATGGGAAAACAAATGTTAGGCAAAAAAAAAAAAAAAAAAGAGAAAAAACAGCTAGAAAAAGCAGCAGAAAGTTAAACACTTCAAATGTTTGTGCCTGTGTCTGCCTCTTTCTCTTCATAGCCGCCCATATCTCTCTCTCTCTCTCTTTCTATATATCTCTATCTCTTTCTCACTTTTTTGGTGCTTGACTTGCTGTCAGACGCGTTAGTTTTTTCGGCTTTAGAAAATATTTTGTTGAATATTCTGAAAATTTGATCGCTGCATTTGGCATTTTGGGCTGAGGCTGGCAAATGGGCCACAGGCGTTGGCTTTTCCCACCTCGGGATTTTGTTATACAGCAAGCGTTAAAAATTAATTAAGGGCTGCACCACCAACATCACCACTAACACCACAGCAAAAACTAACAGGATATAAAAAAGTATGGATATTAAATAATATGAACACGCATATTTAGCGTACTGTCAAATAAATTGTAATTAAAAACTGGCTTCAGGGTATCTCCTAGTCGATTTGACAGAGAATTCTACCATATTTAAGTCTACGATTCTACCTATATCTATCTACTTGCTATTTGGAGAGTGTAGGCACAAATCACATTACCAGAGTTCAAGTCGATGCCATAAACGTACTTTTGGTAGGACACCCGTCGGTAGTAAGAAACTCAATTAAACATAGATACCTTAACATTAAATTCAATTCATTTAATTTGAAGCAAACACCTTAATAAACGTCAACGCCATTTCCACTCACTTGGTCGAAATAGAAGAAGACTTAAATGAATCTAACCAGAGCAACTCCCTTCACGCTCTACTTTTCCTTGACGAACACTCTCTCAAATCACTTAATACTTTTCTTTGATGGCAATCCAATTACCCAACAACAGTCGTACAGTTCTTATCCTGTCTAACCAACTTAACACAATCCAATCAATTAATCAGATATTTCAATCCTTCTACATTTTTGTATTTCACGTAACATCAGCTTAAATGAACACGCCAATCAAGGAATTTATTTTAACTCTGGAAATGAGCGCTATTAAATTTTAATGTCATACATAAAATCAATATATCTTTACACAAATAAAAGAAAAACTTTATTTCTTAATTCCTTATTAATATGATAATATTACAAATGGAAAAGCTCCATGATTTACCCAATAAAACTGTATGTATTAAAATATATACATTTTTAAGTAAATTTAAATGCAATAAAAACTTACCTCGAGCTTTTTAGTGAACAAGTTTTATGTATCTGCAAGTAAAGAAAAAATGTTGCCAATTAAGGAAAATACTACAAGAAAATTGTGCAAAATTAAGAAACAATAAAAAGATACAAAACTGTGTCGAATGCACAATGCTTATCAAAATAGTGAGTAGCTGGACACATGAAATTCTGCGCTAGCTGTTTGGCCCTTTAGCCATTTTGCCACCGAAACATATTGGAAAAAAAAATATAAAGTCCTTTATGGCAACGACTCACATAACAAAGTGCAGTCAAGCCAAAAGAGACCACCCAGAATTCAGTTTAAACGGAGAATTCTTGGTAACCAAAGCGGCAAGCACAATGAGTAAGCCAGCTTCCTTCTTCACCTCTCAGTCCCCTCTCACAATATTCCCATTCTCTTCGGCTTCGCTGCGCATTATTGTTAATGAATTCTACACATTCGCTGGCTGCTTCAACAGGGCCCAGAGCTACAGCCAACGGCGTTTCATGAGCCTGTTTCGCGGCCAACTTTGCGGCAGCCTGGCGCAATTTTTTACCCTTGCTCAGAGTATTCAAATTTTGTCATCAAAAGTGTAACGCATTGTCAAGAAGATAGCTTTAGGTTAATATAATTTTATTTTTTTTTACACTGCACTGATTGGATGAACACTGTAAATATTTGCCTGAAGACAAATGCCGGCGGGATTCAAAATACAAAGCCTTATTTATACATATTTTAATTATAGTTATGATCCCTCTTTGACCATTATAAAATGGTCGGATTTTGACAACGTTTATTATTTGCTTAAATTATTCTTAAGCACAATGGTTCTTTGTTACGTGAATTCATTTTCAAATTTAAATCTGCAAAAGTATTAAAACTTCGGTGTAATCAAGATAGCTGTTCTTTCTCCTTTATTTTTTGCATAAAATGACTGTAGATTATTTGTTGTTGAGTTTAAGCCTTATTTTTTCTGTTGCCAGGTCCGTAACTTGGTGTCAAGGTGTTGGTCACATGGCGCTGCATTGTCAACATTCTGGGATGGGGTTCAACGCACAAATGATTGGTTTTTAAGCGCGCTGAGAGGCTGGAGCTGAGACCCTTATACTCTCCAACCCACTCCGGAGAGCATAAAGGTCGGTTGATGATTTAACTTTTGGTGATCCTTTGTTGCCGCAAAAAATAAACTCTCCATGGCACTTTGAATAATTTTTGTGCCAGCATTTGCTGATGGATAATAATTTATTTGGGGATAGAAGGATTGTTCATCGCATATGGATAAGATTTGCTTGTTGGCACTAAAACAGTGAAATTCAATTACAGGTGAAGCGCAGAGCCATAAAATGGGTGCAAAGTTTAAAGGTTGTGTCGTGTCAAAGTGGCAATAACACTCAGCCGAAGCAATGACAAATGGGACGAGGGTTTGTCTTTAATCAAAATTGAGTGAAAGGAAAATACTGGGAATAAAATGTAAATAAAAACACCGGACAACAAAATCCGTCCTGGCAGCCTAAGCCGACAAAGGGACGCAGAAAATGAGAGGATAAAAAAAATGTATAACACATTTTTTCATACCCTGTTTAGTGTGTGCAATAAAATAAGTGTGCACAGATTTAGAACTTTTTCAAAATGTTCTTGCATATTTTAATTGTTTAAACGTATTTGTAGATGTATTAAATAATATTCCATTAGTGGTATTCCACAAGCACATTTTATTTTATGTTCTTCGAGCCTAATTTGACTGGTGGCCTTTTTAGTTGTAGTTATTTTGTTAGGTAGTATATTTAGAATAGAATAGTTTTATTTATAAAATTTTACTTTATTCGATTATATTTTGTTTATGTATTCTTTCATTCGAATTATGTATTTTCTTTATGTGCATTAAAGATCACAAACTATTTTTAAACATAATACCATAAGTACTTTACACATTTGTAGTTACTAATACACAATGTAAACATACGCTTATTTATTCAAGTAATTCAATTTCTCAGTATACACATGCATAACTGAAATTAAACTTTAAATACCTATAATGTATTCATGTTCGAATAAATATACGCCTCGTAAGCATATTCCTCAATATGTGCAAAAATATATATCTATAGATATTTTTTATGTACGCTTCTCAATCTTTTACGAGGTAGTCCATAAAACGTTATGTTTTCAAATATGCGCAATCAATAAAAACAAGGTAAAACAGCTATCTTAGGCTGGCCGTAGATTAAATACCCTTTCTGAAAGTCCGATTTTGATAATAATTAAGTTAATAGTATAAAAAAAATATGCGTAACGTTGGTTGTGATAACTTGTTAAACAAAAACGTTGTTCACATAAGATTGCTCACATGAATACTATTTAATATAATGATGCTGATCAAGAATATAAATTCTTTTCGCGATGGTAGACGACTCCGTTAATGCGTTGCAAGCTTTACGACAAAATAATAATGTCACTTACAAGAGAATATAAAAAGGACCGTAAGCCAAGCAGAAAGCCAGAACACATCCTAAGAAAGCAAAAGGCACCCAACTTGAACGACTGACTGACTGACAGACAGACTAAGACGGAAAAGTTTATCAAGGTCATTACAGTGGGTTGCTCTCCGTCCCCCTGCCATGTCATGCCCCAACCCAGTTTATTATTTTTTCTTATCAAAATGACGACCAGGTAGAGTCCAAAGTACTTGGACTTCAGCTGGTTTCGTAAATACAGCAAATTAGGTGAAACATAAGGCGTCCTTTAGTTGATTTTTAAGAGAGCGCTCATTCAAGTAGAGCATATTTCTATATAGATTTATATATACGTATATATAATCATCAATTTTACAACGATAGAGAAAGAGACGCTTGCGTCGAGAACAACTTGTGCTGTGTCTAAGATTAAACGGAGTTGAAGAAAACACAAAAGAATACAAACTGAAAATGTTCTCGGAAAATGCAAATTAAATGCAAATATTATAATTGTTCGGAAGAAAAATTTATGAACTGGAATTGCATGAAACAAATTTTGCCTTTGTAGAATAACTCAGATGCCTAAAACCTTTGTAGAAGTTAAACTCATTTTCTCACAAATTATATGCAAATATTATACTTGTTGGGTGGCAAATTTAAACATGTGAATATGCAAAAACAACAAAGTTGAAAATTATCTTAGAAGCCTTAAACCTTTGTTGATGGTATTTTAATTTCATCACAAATTATATGCAAATATTATAGTTGTGGAGCAGAAGTTTTGAATTCGTGAATATGCAAAAAACCAAACGATTTTTAATGAAAATGTTTTCTTCTTTTCGTAGTTCATGCTAAAAATTGTATCACATGAACGAACTCATAAAGTTTAAAAAACTGAAAACTTAAATTTCAAAATATTATAAAACATATGTATGGATGCCAAATATATATGCCATATATATTTGCATTGGCAACCCAAAAAAAAAATTAAAATGCCTTCTCTTCTTGTCTGTTTTTGATGGATGCACTTCGCCAAGAGGCATCGTTTGGAAACGTATTAGAATCAACTTGCGCACTTCCCATCCGAAAAGTTTTCTCACATTTCAGTTCAACTTTTTTTTATGCCGCACACACTTGAAACTATAATTGAATTTGAGTTATGAAAGAACTTGTTTTGTGTAAATGACAAGCAGCACTTCAACGAAGAAAATGTCAAATCCAATCAGATATATATAATATGTAATTTAGGTATGTATTTTATACAGCCTAAGCGTAATAAGATCAATTTCTCAGGGGTTGCCGGCAAGTCCAAAAAGCAAGGATTAATTCGATTGAAGAATCACAATGCGACAAGCAAGGGGCACGCACACACACACACACACACACACACACACACAAAGAGAACATAAAGAAATGCCAGCTAAGGCCAAAACTATAAAATCAATCGTGGCATAAATGTTCATATAAAGGGATTCTCAGGTAGCTGCGCTCGTAAACTCATTCAAGAGTTAATAACACAACAAATCCATAAGAATTAATAAAAATGTGTCATGCACTGCGAGAAAAAGACTACTCGAAAGTAGAATAAAACTTCTAACATTTCACAGTTTCAGAGTATGGTTTTCCATATGGACAACAATTCTTAGTTATAAAGTTCACCATTGAAGATTTTCCATTCTACAAATAAAATTCACAGTTGTAATTTTTCAGTTAATATAATTTTCTTTGAGTGTAACGTTTTGGGTGCGTCGACCACTAACAAAAAAAATACAATGGGCGTAAAGTGTATAAGCCAATGTTTTTTTTTTTTTGGTTTTCCCCGCACAAATGAGTTAAGCTGATTTTCATGCGATTTTTGTGGCCGGCTAATGGACTCGGTTCGCTTAGCAACGGGAACGAAATAGAAGAACGGGACCACGCCCACTGCTATGCTATGTGGGCGTTTGCGGCAATTAATATCAATTCCGTTTTGGCCATTAACATGACCCAAAACATATTGGCTAACAAGTGTCAAAGTCGCGCCAAATTAGAGAGCAAAGCCAAGGGACGAGGTGTGGAGAGAGCAGTGAGAGAAGTGGGCCGACGATTGAAATTGGAATTACTAACGGGACTTGGTGGGGTCGGGGTCGGGTTCGGGGTTGGGTTCGGGGTCGGGATTGGTGTTCGAACTTCAAACACTCTAGTTGGTAGTCGCAGTCGCGCCTCATGACGCGTGCAAAACGTTGAGCAGCATGTGGCCAATCCCCAATTGCCCAAGTCCGCAATGGGTTCGCTGTTCTGTTCTTGGGGCGCGTCGTTGTCCTTGTTGATGATAATAATATTCCATTCCATTCCATTCGATTCGATTCGAGTTTTATTTGCTTTGGGGTTTGGTCGCTGTTAGTACTGCTCCCACTCCTGCTCTCACCTCCTGCCCCAGCTCTTCTTGTCCTGCTCATTGATGGTTTATTGTCTTTGCAGTCTGACAATATACACATTATGTTTTTCTACTTTTATTTTTCTTCCATATACCCTGTGGCCATTTAAAATTATTAGTTGGTAGTATTGTACAATTTTCGCCATTTTTCATGGGTTCAGGGCAAAAATAATCCAAATAAAAAAACCATCATGCAACAAGTAATTTTTGATAAAAACCCAGTTGTATGCATATATCGTAAATTTCTCCGCTGATTACGGGGTATCTCCTAGTCACAAATATTTCCATTATTATTATTTTCTTTTTTTTTTGTGCGCAAGTGTGACGCATAACGAACAGCACTTGAATGCTTTTTATGTACACCCACACATACACAGCAAAATATGCTCTAAGTGGAAGGGGTCGCGCTGCTAATGGCAATACCAATGGGCATATGACGAAGGACTCAGCGACAGGACAACAGGACACCCGGACACGCCACATGTGGCCAACAGAACGCTGGACATTCAATAATGCTATTTGAAATTGAAAACGGAACATAGACGGCTGCCTCAACTGCTGCTGCTATTGCTGCCTTAGCAGCTGCCTGAACTGTTGTTGCTGCTGCTGTTGATGAGTGATGGAAGCGGAAGCGACTGACGCTATCAGCTATCATGCAAAGCGCTCTCCCTAATTATGCAGATCGGGCCGGGCTGGGACGGGCCCGAAGTCGTGGCAATCGACAATCGGCAATCAGTGTGACTTACAATGACAAACAGCAAAAACAACAACAGCAAACCGCAAGCAACAACAAATGCTAAGTTGAAGATAACAAAGTAACGCAAACGCAACAGCAACAGCATAAAAATAAATAAATATTGAGCACTTTCCGCGAGTTGTTCAAACGATTACTCCGACTTAGAGCGTAAGATATGTTTAATCTGATATTTGCATACATCTGAAAACTTCAGTTATTTGTGTCATTTAGCCACTTGAGTCAAAACAGATTCAATGTTTTTAGTTATTCAAACGATTACTCAAATTCGGAGCATAATTATTCTTAATCTGATAATAAAATTTATGTTGTGTGTATGAGATTTCAGTGTCAATTGAATGTTTATGTGCATTTTGAATTGACTTACAAGTGAGTGTCAAAATATTAACAGCATTAATATACAGAAACTAATCTGGCATCTACTTAGAACATAATCAATAAGTCAAAGCTATTTTGAAGAACGCTTTAGACGATAACCAGAATTCAAGTCCTTAGCTATGATAGGATAGTTAACATAAACTTGATCAGCGTATGGTAAACAAGAACTTAAAAGCTCTGACATCAAACAGACGGACAGAGCTAAATCAACGCGACTTTTGATGCTGATCAAGAATATATATAGTTAATGGTTCGGAAATGCCTGTTACACACACTTGCATAACTCTATCGTACACGCTTTAATAATTTTCAGGAGATTCGACGATTGAAAATGTTTGTGGCTTACTTTGAAAGCATTAGCACATTTTTTATTGGGATTTCTTTAAGAATATATTCCTATAAATATATTCTGCATTGAGTAGCTCGTGCATACTTATAGCAAAAAAGAGAAAATAATAATAATTTATACGCATGCTTATATATAAATATAAATTCCGTATAGTAAACTTTATCGATTAACACCCAGCCAACATGTTAAGCAACAGACAGAAACAATGACAAAGGCTGAAAAACAAACAAGCGGAGACAACGGCCGGAAGTGCGCATAGCATAATGAGTGTCTGCTTTTTTTCTTTTTTATTTATTTATATATATATACATATAAATATATATGTATATATATATATAATATATTTTTTTTTTTTTGGATTGGCGAGACAGCGAGGTCCAGAAAGAGGTTGAAAAGGCCTTACAGATAACATGGACAACAGCAACAACAACAACAAGAGCAGTGATAAGAATAAGCTTAAAGACAGCGCGGATGATTTTACTCTTGCTAAAGCTGGCTGTGTGCGTGTATGCGTACGTGCGTGTGTGTGTGTGTTTGTGTGTTTGCGTATTCGAGTGAGACAGGAAGAATGCTTGTATGAAAGGCCATAAAGCACTCAATGCATGTGCAACAGCAACAGCAGCAGCAATAACAACATTAAAGGGGCATCGATTAAGTTAATGAAATTGCAGTCGCAACGTCGCGACTGGCAAAGTGGCAAAGTGTCAGAGACAGCGTGTTAATTACGGTAAATACTTTAAAGCACTTATGCAGTCGACTAATGAAGTGTGACAATTAAACCAACAACGCACAGCTATCAAAGTTTGAATACCCTTACAAAATTCAGTTCAACAACAATATTTCTAAATTGTTTAATTTAAGGAATCTAATATTTTCTTTAACAAGAAAACCACAAAGAATAGACAAACATGAATATGTATGTTGTAGTTATGAATTTTATTTTTTTTTTAGCAAAAGAACTTATAAAATATGCATTTTGTTTCCCTTGTCAAAATAATATCTTGATATGGGTATCGAAGATGTTGTAGCTGAATAAAAGAAAACTTCTTCAACGAGTTCCTACAAACTTTTTGCATTTCGATTTGTGATCAAATTTGTATTTCTCCTTGCAACACATCATGAAGCAAATTACAAGAAATTTTATGCATCTACGGTTCTTTTCATTTTAAGCATAAAGTTTAGAATTGATCAGTTCTTAAACAATTTTTCTATTTTGGAATTTTAATTTTTAAGTTTTAAAAATTGCAGAAATAATATAGCCTAAATACATTCAATAATTTGTGGTAAAAAATATTTATGCTTACCTTGTATATTTTTGTCTCTTTTGATTTTTCCTTTGAACTTGGCTTTTTAGTATATGTTTTTATGCAATTTTTAGTTTCTATTTCTGCAACAATCAGAATATTATTTGACTGATAAGAATTGTGTTGCGTTTGTGATAACAGCGAATCAGACAATAGAACTCGTAGCAGAAGCAATTGAGGCAGAGGCGACGACGACAACGCCTAGTGAAGCAATTTTCCGGCTTTTCACACACGCGACGCTGGCAGCGACGTTGACGACGATGTCGACGTCGGCTTCGGCTTCGGATTCAGGCGGCACGCTTTCTCGGCAAGTTTTGATTTAGCTTTTTGCCTATTTTTTGTATTATTTATTTTTTTTTGGGTTTGCTTTTTTGCTGCTGCTTCTCTGTTGTTGTTGCTGTTGTTATTGTTGCTGCTGCCCCGACACCAATACTTTTTTATGATTTTTTGTTTTTCTTTTTAATTTGACCGCATTTGTCGATTTTGGTTTTTCTTCTTTTTGTTGTTGTTTTCGTTGTTGTTGCTGCTGCTGCGGCTCTCTTTGCGTTTTGCTTTTGGCCAACAAAACGCACACTTACAAGAACACACACGCACACACAATCAACTTGCGCGCAGCAAAACACACTCACACAACACACACACAGCTAAACACACACACTGAAAGCACAAGCGAGAGCACGGCGGCGATCGAAAACACACACACACACACTCACAGAGAAAATGCCAAAAAAATTTGTATGCACTTGATTTAATTGGCTGGCAGAAGACACGCACGTTCAATATGCATCAATTTGCGGCAACACACGCGTATCTGAAATTAACAATTGCTTTACTTCAATAATTTATACGTCCGCGCTTGGCAAAAAGAGGTATACACCCACGTCCGTTCGTAACACAAATGCTGTTAATTAACAGGCTGCGTATGCTAACATCGTGTAAGATTACAGCACTATCGAGAGCATAGCAGCTCTGTTGCATTTCGATAAATGTTGTCGAGTTCCTGAATTCTACTGTTACTTAACATTATTCTTATCACTCAAATTGGCATGTTAGCTGTTATCGATGGGACGTCACAAGTGCATGCATTATTTAGATTATTAGTTTATTAATTAAAATGTGTATATACAAGTTATTTAATTACGTTGAAAAGTAACTAAGAATTTTTTTTAGTGTTTGCACACATTTGCAATTGATAATTATTATTGTTGTGTTGTGTACGTATTGTGTGTGAAGGTTACACGCGGTTCGTCGCAGCTGAAGACAACCGGCATAATTTTTTTTGGGTAACTTGCACGCTTTTCTACTATGATTTTTACACGAAAAGCATTAAAATTACTCAATCATCGACTGCAATGCAATCGCCGGTGCCTGCAGAGCAGCGCTCGCGGAGATGCACCCACTGTGGAGGTGCAGTTCAGCAATGGGTAAGTCAAATTGAAATTCAATGAGAATATTTCATAATTGGGTATTCTTGCAACTTGCAGTCGCAACATGACGCTCAGCTCTGGCAAATTGGCGCGCTTTGCCAATGGAACGGCTGTTTGCCAGATGGGCGACACAGCTGTGATGGTCACAGCGGTGGCCAAGGCGAAGGCGACTCCGGGCCAGAACTTCATGCCGCTGGTGGTGGACTATCGGCAGAAGAACGCCGCCTCGGGTCGCATACCAATGAATTTTATGCGCCGTGAATTGGGTCCATCGGAGCGAGAGATTCTGTCGGCCCGCCTCATCGATCGCTCGTTGCGGCCACTCTTCCCCAAGGACTATCGGAATGAGACGCAGCTGGTGTGCAATATGCTCGCCATGGATGCAGTTCACTCGCCAGACATTCTGGCCATCAACGCAGCCTCGATGGCGCTCTCAGTGAGCGATATACCCTGGCATGGACCCATTGGCGCCGTGCGGTGAGCACCTTCGACTTGAATATAAATCAAATTTCTAGCCTCAATCCCTGATTGCAGCGTTGGCCTGTGCGATGGCGAGGTGCTCATCAATCCAACACGCCGTGAGCTGCAATCCTCGCAACTGGATTTGGTCGTCTCGGCAACTAAACAAAATCTGGTGGTGATGCTGGAGGGCAAGGGCAACGTGGTCCTCATGCAGGATCTGCTCAAGGCCATCAAGCAGGGAACGCGTGAGGCGCAGTTCATCATACACGAAATTGAACGCCTACAAAAATCGTATGGCCGACAAAAGAGGGATGTGGATGCATTGCCCGAATCGGAGCCGGAACTGGTGCAGGCTGTGAGGAGTATGTGTGAGATGCGATTGCGTGAGATCTTTCAGGATGCACAGCACGACAAGATCTCGCGTGACACCGCCGTCAACGAGGTGCGTGCGAATGTCCTGGACAAGGTGTGGTCCTCCTATCCAGACGCAGAACCCGCCACAATTGGTGAGGAGTTCAACAAGGCGTGTCGCAGCATATTCCGGGAGCTAATCTTCGAGAGCAATCGTCGCTGTGATGGCCGGGACTACGACAGTCTGAGGAATATCAACTGCCAGGTGGATATGTATAAACCGCTCCATGGATCGGCGCTGTTCCAACGTGGTCAGACGCAAGTCTTTTGCACGGTCAGCTTGGATTCGCAGGAGAGCGCCATGAAGCTGGACACGTTGGCGGCGCTGGAAAGCGGCGGCCTAAAGGCCAAAAACTTTATGCTCCACTACGAGTTCCCGCCGTACGCCACTGGAGAGGTGGGTCGCATTGGGCCACTGGGCCGCCGCGAGTTGGGTCATGGAGCGCTGGCCGAGCGTGGGCTGCTTCCCACCTTGCCACACGATTATCCGTTCACGGTTCGCTTGACTTCCGAGGTGCTGGAGTCGAATGGATCCAGCAGCATGGCCAGCGTTTGTGGTGGCTCCTTGGCACTCATGGATGCAGGTGTGCCCATTATAGCGCCAGCTGCCGGCGTTGCCATTGGCCTCGTCACCAAGTACGAGAATGAGGATACCAAACATCTGCAGGATTATCGCATTCTCACTGACATTCTTGGCATTGAGGATTATATGGGTGATATGGACATGAAGGTGGCGGGCACGCGAAAAGGTTTCACTGCCATCCAAGCGGATCTCAAAATACCGGGCATACCGCTCAAGGTCGTCATGGAGTCGCTGCAAAAGGCCACCGATGCCAAGGCTAAAATATTGGACATCATGGCCGATACCATCAGGGAACCCCGGTAAGTCCAATGGACTTTCTATCAGATGTAGAATTTATTTCACCTTCGTCTGCTTGCTTTCCCCCACAGCACGTACCGCAAGGAATGCTGGCCCGTCAGCGAAACTCTGAGCGTGGAGCCGCATCAGCGAGCCCAGCTCATCGGGCCAAGTGGTCTGCACATGAAGCGCATCTATTTGGAGACGGGCACCACTCTAACCGCTGCCGATGACAATAGTTTCACAATCTTTGCACCCTCGCAAGCGGCGCTCGACGAGGCCAAGGAGCTCATCGATGGCTATATGCTGAAGGAGCGTGTGCCGCAACTGGAATTCGGTGGCATCTATACGGCGAAGATAACCGAGCTGCGGGATACGGGCGTTATGGTCATACTGTATCCGAGTATGCCGCCAGCGCTGTTGCACAATTCACAGTTGGATCAGCGCAAGATTGCGCATCCGTCGGCGCTGGGATTGGAGGTGGGCCAGGAGCTGCAAGTGAAGTACTTTGGACGTGATCCCGTCTCCGGTTTCATGCGTCTCTCACGCAAGGTGCTGCAGGGCCCGGCGCTGGGAATTGCACGCAGTCTGAATAAAGCGGAGGACACATCCTGATTAAACCAATGCGTGATGTGGATCAATTGTTGTACAGTTAACCGTTTGTTTTGTTGTTATGCAACTATATTTTAAGTTCTAAATTGTTGTAGGTATGTACATTAAATGAGAGAAATCAAGCTAATTGTGAATTACCATGTAAAAAATAGTTATTTTCAAAAAATACATTTTGTATGTAAAGTTTGTGACAAAATAGCTTATTATAATTAATTAGGGGTACTCCTTTTTTGGAGATTTTAATTAATTAATTAATTAGGATTAGCATTTAGAACGCTGCAACAAATTCAACTATATTTTTTTCTAATTCTAACAGAGTTCAGCTTGCATAAGGCTTTTAATTGATTCGACTTTCGTTAATTGTAAATTGTAAAGAATCGTTTAAAATTAATTGAGACAATTTTTGAAAAACTGCTTGGCACTTTTTGAAAACAATATTCGAAAGTCTTACAAAATTTTCATTCTTTTTGGTAAATCTAAGAAAAAACATAGTGTTGCATTAATTGAAGGCAACAAAGGCTTAAACTAATTTTTGTAGGCGCTTTGAGCAGACTTCATTCAGTTCGATGCAGTTGCTCCAAATTGAAATTCAAATGATGACACGATAATAGGAATCGGAAATGCTATAAATGGCCAAAATGGGTGTCTTGGCCTCGCTCAGATAATCGACAATCTCCTCGTGTATTTCGGATATATACCGTTTGTGTTTTGGAAATCTGCCAAAAGATACAAAAATTTAGTTCAAGTCAAGTGCAGCTGGGAGTTGAGATTTTCGTTCACCTCTCGATCACAAAATTAATTTCGGGTTCAGTCTCTTTTTTGCGCAACACTCGCGGATTGATGGCACCAACGATGGCATTGACAACGGACGGCGGCATCTCCACCACCAGCACGACAAATGATTCCTTCTTGCTAAACTGGGCCAGCGTTGAGCTCATCTGCTGTGCCACCTGATTCTCTAGTCGTCGCCTATAGTTCGCCGTCATCTTGTCGTGGGTGTGGAATGTCACCTGGACATCGGGCAGCTGGCTATAGTTGTTCTTGATGCTCACATTCGAGGCGGACAAGCTGAGACCGTTGTTGCCTGGCCCACTGCTCATATTGGACAACTGACTGCTGTAATCTCCGCCAGAGCCGACCACGCCTCCGCTAATCGCCTCACTGCGCTGCATCTTCTGGATGAACTCGACCAGTTCGGCACGGGTTAAATGCCGCTCCTGGAATCGATCCCGTTCAAAGGAGCGCACACGGAGCGAGCCATTCTCGGCGACAAGTATCACATGCAATGCCCCCAGTCGGGCCAAATCCTGCGCTTCGTCGCCACCACCGCTGGCAGTCTCCACAATTCCACAGCGTATGCCAACGGACCAGAGTAGTCGCATGATGTAGGTGACATCCTTGAGCGGTGGTCGTGTGCCACACACACAGATGCCAATGTCGATGGCCCGACAATCCTTGGCATATTCCATGCCCACCGCAGCCACCAGTTTGTCCAGCGAGAACGAGAGTCCAGCACCGCTGAGCACTCCACGTGTCGGCAGCGCAGCATTATAGCTCTGCGCCTGTTTCTGGAACTCGTGCAGCATCGCATCATAGCGCTCGCCCATCGCCAACACCGATGGATGCCCCGAGCGATTCGGTTTCAGATCAGCGGTCATTTGCCAGACGATGCCACCAGTGCTGGCACGATCAAAGCTGATGGGCAGACCAGCCCAAATGTGAATGGGACACTAAAAAACAAAAAACGAAAGATGATTATACTAAAGATGCTGTGGACATGGCTGACTTACTGTCACTCCCAGACTGTAGGCTAATCCCACAACCGTTTCCAGTTCGCGCAGAGCAGCGCATGCCAAGGAAGCTGCCTCACCCTTGCCACGCATCAGGGACTTCAGCGCGGATTCATCTACGCTGCTCCTGGAGCCGGTGAGCAGAAAGTTGGCAAGCAACATATCCATCAGATTCTGTGCGGCGCTGCGTGACTTCTCCACAATGGACATAATGCTGGATAGAAACTGAAAGCGCGAAATGCGCCCCTCAATGAAGTCCATGTAGCCCTCGAAGAGTGCCCCATATTGGGATCGGGGCACATTACAATACATGAGAATGGAGCGCAACAGATTCGTGTGATTCATGCGTATGGCGATGTTACGCTTCCGCAAACTGGGCAGCTCGCTGGCAATCTCAAAAGCCAGCGACAGCAGTTCGGCATCGACCAGTTGGCTGCTGGTGCTCGGCGTGATGATGTCGAAGCAGCATTCGTAATTCTGCTTCGGATGAAAGTTGAAGACACGCTCCTCGCGATAGACGCGATCGACGCAATAGCGTCGTATGAGATTCACACCGTTCATGGTGACATGTCGGGCGAACTGGGTGCGCAGATCGCAGGGGAGCAGCACCACGCTGCCCGAATGCGTCATCAGATGGACGGCATTGTTGTTGACGTTGATGTTGCGTGCCGATAGCGGCGACAACAGCGGCGAATCCACCTCGATGGCGCCGTGCTTGCGGAACACATTCACCACCTTCGCCTTGACGAACTCAATCAGTGGATTGAGCGAAACAATGTCATCGATAACTATCGCCGAGTTCCAGGACTTCATGGCACGACTGCTGCTCAGATGATAGGTGTGCTCCAACACCTCGTCGCTCTCTTGTTGCAGACAGCGTGCCACCAGATTCTTGTACGCCTTGCTCTGGGGATTGGCCAGCGCATGACGCAGCATCTCCTGCAGCTCATTGGCCTCAAGTTCGGCAGGCGGCACCAAATCCGAGACGAGCAGCTCCTCGGCAGTGGGTCGTTGAGCGGGATCATGACTGAGCAGCCAGCGCAGCATCTGGTCATTAATGGGTATTTATAATTAGGATGTTATTTATAGATATATGTATAGATAGATATATTCCAATGCTAACCTTCACTGTCTTCTCGTATTTGCTATCCTGCAGCATGCTCTCTGGGATGACAATTGAAGCATTTCTCAATTGCATTATGGTCTGTGCACGTTCCATGCTCGTATCAAAAGGCGGCTGGCACATCTCAAACAATATGATGCCCAGGGTGTACATATCCACCTTCTGATTGTACACCGACTTGGAGGCATTGCCCGTCAGCTCTGGGGCCACATAGAGCGTTGTGCCCACTTTTCCCGTGCCGGTGCCATCCTCAGTGCTTGTTACATGTTGTGCCACTGAGTGCGTTGGGTATTCCGCTAAAATACATCTAAGTTAGTTGATGCTCAAAGCATGAATAATTCTTCCACTTACCATGCGTCTGCAGAGCCAAAAAACTGGTGGTTGCCAGTCCAAAATCACCAATTTTGATTTGATCATGCGAGTCCAAGAAGATGTTGACCGGCTTCAGATCGCGATGGATGATGCCCTGCTGATGAATGTGTGAGAGGCCCTCGGCAATCTCACGAAACAAGCGCCACAATCGATCTGTGTTCTCAAACAGATTGTCATCAATAGCAGTGCTGCAGAATAGCAATGGAATTGAGCGAATCTGCGAAGGTGTCTGCTTGGTATTACAACTCACCGCAGAGTGCACTTCTCGCAGAACTCCATTTGAATGTACATCACTTGCATCTGTGGACGCGGCGAGTTGATTTTACGTTGCGATGAATCCTCCTTATGCTGGTTGTGATCATCATCATCATCATCGTCGTCATCGTCATCGTAAACGGCCACTTTCCCGTTCGAGTCAACAAACTCAATGCCATCCGAGTCGGAGTCATCCACGCCGTTGTTCCTAGGATAGACAATACACAAAAGTTACAGATTATAACATACTCAAGTTCATCGTTCTTATTGCTATTTACATGTAACCATTCCACATGCTGGACGAGCTCTCCGTCTCCTCCTCGTGAACGGCGAGACCCAATTGTGGTGACTTGGCCGGTTTGATGCTCAGATCCTGGCTCTGTGACCAATCGCCGCCGAGTACTTTGTCCATTTCAGCGGCGTCCGCATCACTGACACTCTCGATCCAACTGTTGAAATACCGCACAACATTCTCATGATTCAGGCGGGAAAGCAGCTCCACCTCGCGCGTCATCTTCTTGTACAGCTGGCGACTACGACCCGGCAGCGGAATACGCTTGATGGCATACTCGCGATTATCGAGAATGTTGCGCACCTTGAGCACATCGCCAAAGGCGCCCTTGCCCAGATACATAAGCACCTCGAATTCGGTGCGCAGCCGGGATTGACTTAGCGCCAGTGTGGGTATTTGAAAGGGGACAACGGCACGTTGAACCAACATGGCTTGATCCGATGGCGGCGCCAGGGAGCTGCGATGATGCGTCTGCTGCAGCGTCAAATTCTGCTGTTGCCCGTTGTCATAGAGGCGCAGAAACGGATGCTCCAGCAGCTCCGATGCGGACAGAGTACGATCCGAATTGCATCTGAATTGGCAGAAAGAATTGTTAGCTGGGAAAGGATTGAAATAGCATCGTTGCTCACTTGTCGATAAAGTCGCGCATCTCATAGCTATTGGTGGGCATCAGAGCCTCGACGAGGGCGCCCAATGCTGGCAAATCGCCACGAATGCTGCTGCACTGGCCATCTCCGCCAATCAGCTCCAACAGACTGGGTACCAGCGAGAAATCCGTACAGCGAATATTTCCCGTATTGTCCATAAAAACGGTGCTGTCCAACAGATGACTATGCGCGACGCCCTTGTTATGCAGAAAGACCAAAGCCTCCAGGACGCCACGGGCAACCATGCGAGCGCCGTCCATGCACCAGCCCAGCGATGAGGAGATGCTAAAGACGCTGGTGCCGAGCAGAAAGTCCTGCACCAGATAGATAAGTAATCCCTCTTTGCGTTTAATGCACAGCACGCACTCGTACTGAATTAGATTCTTGTGCTGCAGCTGCGCCAGTGTCGCCACCTGTTTCTCTATGGAAGCGACCAGATCCTCGACGCGATGATTGCCCGCACACTTGGACTCGACGCTCCAATGACAGATGCCATTGCCGCAGCAGGGCTGCTCCAGCTGCGAATACTTGATGCTCCACTCGGTGATGTACAGTAACTGACCGCTGTGCATATCGACGCCAGAGTACGCAATGCAACCGCGCTGCGAATGTCCTGCAAACAGGATATTGATATAAACAAAACGAAGATGTTGAAGATCTTTTTCACATTTGAAGAGTATCCGTTTTTTGTTTACCTAAACAGCAGCCGCGCTGAATTTGCCTGCCCATCTTGTGGAAGTAGAGGATTTCGGTGTTTCGATGGTCGAGACACTTGTTGGGATACATATGCCCTCGATAGTATGGCGACGAGTTCTCCGAACTCTCCGATGAGCTCGGATGTCGATTATTCGATTCGCTCATGCTGCGCCTGGGTTCGCCTCGTCGCTTTGCCTCCGTTTTGAACATCTCCTTGCGACGCTCCACCTCGTCAATTAGTGTCTGACGCTCCAGTGTTTCCTTCTCCTTTTGCATGTGGAGCAGCTCCTGTTCGCGCTTCTGTTTCGCCTGCAGCATCTCATCGTAGAATGAGCCTTTGGGCGGCTTGTTGTGCTGCAGCAGAAAGGCCTGCACCGTTTGGGCCAACTCGTAAATCATGACTTCGCCACGCAGCTCCTGGGATTGGGCCTGCAGCTGACCAAGCAGCGCCTCCAATAGCTGATCCGACATACCCTTCGACTCCTCCAGCACGATTTTAGGTGCACTGCAAAAAAAAACATTTTTTTTAAACAACTTTATTGAAAGCTCTGCAAGGGCACTTAAAATTCTATTAATTTGAATCATTTTACATTTGGCTTATTTATATGATAGCCATAACAATGAGATAAATTTTAACATGAGCCAGAATGAACTTTAGATGAAGCATTAATCTATAGTAAATCATTAGTAAAAAACACTGGTTTTTGAAAATCGAATCTCTTTTGACAAACTGACGACTTCGGAAAGATTTAGCCATCAATAAAAGCTTAACTTGGGATTATATACAAAATCGCAAACTTTAAATGTGGATTTTGTATGTGCTTGTCAAATCATGATTAAAAACACCTGCTTCTTGAAAATCGGATACATTTTGAGAAAGTTATAGCTCTGGAAGGACAGCCTTTCTTTAAGATTATAATTTTAAATATCGTTTTCAATTTTACATGAACTACTAATCCAGGTATCAAATCATGATCAAAAAGCTTTGATTTTTGAATATATAATTAATATTGACGAAGTTATGATCTGTTAACAAAACTATCGGTTCTTCACCCTGGAGCAAGGTCGCCTTATACTCCACTCCCCCCGTCAACAGTTATCACTTACAGCTTTGGGTATTTGGAGGGGCAGGTGATATGCAGTTTGGTGCTGACATAGGCCTGTGTCTGTCCACTGGCGGAGTCTCGCAACGGGGTGAGCAGGATGCGAATGTCCGTTGGCTTCCATATGGCGGCAGTGCTCTGCGGTCGCAGATCCTCGACGTCAACACCGAATATGGACTGTGAACAGAGCCGGCATTTATTTCATCATCCAAAGATAACAGAAAATGTGAGCTCACCTTTATAACTTCCAATTCTTGTGTTTGTCTGTCGCGAAATGATTCTTTCGCAGCCATTAAGCTATCAATTTGTTCATTAAATCCCAACAAAAGCGAGAAAAGTCTGCGAGAAAATTGTTCAAGTGCGAGTCTGTGTGTGTATGTGTGTATGTGCGAGTGTATGTGTGTGTGTCTATGTGGTTTGTTATGAATACTGCGACCGGTGTGTTTCTTCTGCACTGGCAGCTGTTTTATCGCTGGCAGCGTTCTTCATCACTTTGATGATTGCCTTTGGCTAAAGTTTGATCCACATCAAATATTATTTAAACAGGCAACAGTCTGATTGCGCAAAATTTACAACTTGTTGCTCTTTTCATTAATTTTTCACTTGCGTTTGACGTGCGTAGTTTAGAAGTCGTATAACACTTAACATAACATGCCGTCGCAGCATTTACAGTAACACTCGCTGTTAGATAACATAAAATAGCACTATCTTGGTATTTTAAAGTATTTCATAAATTACAAACAGTGTTGCACATTTTGTAATAGTGTTTTAGTTCCTTTTGCTTGCTTGTCTGTTTAATATAATAATATCTGCTTTACAAACAAAAAACCTTGCAAGCAAAACTACAGCAACAATTACACAAATTACAAGTAACAAATAACAACAAATACTTCGTGTATTATTATTTGTTATATTTATTTGTTTGTTTTCATGCTGGGTATAGCATGTACACGCACCAGTAACACCAACTGGGCTGCTTTATTAACTAAAACAGAAGAAATTGCAGCATACTTTAAGGCATCATTAGATTGAAGGTTTCTGTATAGGATAGCATGCACACGCACCAATGAAGGGGGACTTACACACGCTGGCAATGTTGCCATACATACATACACTGGCATGGATGCTTACACTGTCTGGTCTTCAAAATTCGAAAAATTGTTTTTGCTTGAAATAAGTCGGCAAATGTTTGTTGTGGCTGCATTTTTAACTGCAATATTGCCACCAGTAATGAAGTACAAAATTCGACGCACGGCTTTAAGAAAAACAAGTATATGGCAACATTTGGCTTCTTAGAACGACTACGAAGTTTATTTATTGAACTGTTTATTCAGCTACACAAGAAACGTACAAAATCTGGGCACATAATGGGGAAACAACTACTATGCTATATGTAAAACTTAACATCAACTTTCTATATTCATATTTATGTCTACCAATTGTTAAGGCTAGCTAAAAGTTCGGTGCTAAATTTCAGTTTATATTTTTGTATTAATTTAGGCTGTCCTAAAGCTCGTAGGCCCGGTCGCCGTTCTGTGATTGTTAAATAAGTGTGTCCTCGTCCTGCCCCTCGAAGACCATCAGGAGCGAGTGCTGCGAGGGCGAACGGCCCAAAGTAAGACCGCCGAGCGAACCGTCTGGCGAAAGCAGACCCGTCTGCAGACTGTTGTTATCCCGATAGCCGGATGTGGACGACGTCTGTGAGACCGAGTCCCAAGATATTTCGCCGAGTGCTTTCGGCTGATGCTCCTCCTGGGAGAGTGATGTTACCTGCATGTGGCCAACATTGAGATGGAATTGACTAAAATGCGACCGATCAACTTACAATGCTGGGCGGCTCCATGGGCGTCAGACGACTGCGCTTGAGTCGAAAAGTCTTGCGACTGGCCGCCTTGGAGCGTTGCAGGCGCGAGCGTGTGTGATCCCCGGAACTGTCCTCGGCAGGGCTCTCCGGTGACAGCGGCGTGGTTGAGGTCTCGCCCGACGAGTGTCGAAACTCCACCGATGACACAAAGCGCAGCTTCGGCGGCTGTGCCTTAAACGGTGCTTGTTGCAATGATTGCGAGTGGGACAGCTGTGAGGCGACGCCCGGTGGCAAGGCCGATGCAATGTTCATGCCATGGCCGGAGCCACTGGGTCCGCTGCCTGGCGCTTGACCAACCAGCGTGGGCGCTGAGCCAGCAGCTCCCTCGCCACTGTGACTCTCACTGGTTGTGGTGTGCGGATCGCGGCCCGTCGAGCTGCTCGACAGGGATTCGCGCGGTGGATGCAACGTCTGCTGCGAGAGCGTATCGCTCGGTGTACATATGCCGCCCGAGCCGCTGCGCGAATCAATGGGCACCGCCGAGACGTGCGAGTGTGTGGCCTGTCCCGTTGTGGTGCCCGTGAAAATGGAGATCAGCGACGGTCTCTGCTGCGATTTGTGTGCATCGGCTGCACTGGTTGCTGCCGGCGTATCGCTCTTCTTCTGCTCGGAACTCTCGCGATCTGTGGAAACTGAAACGGTGCCTAGAGACAAGTCGTTGCCTAGATTCGCTTATAGCATACCATATCGCTTGTCCTCCAGCTCGTCCCGCAAGTCGCGCAGCTCGCGTGCCAGCTCCAGCAGCAGCGCCCCCTTCGACTTGAGTCCACCCTGGGGCGGAGTTCCGCGCAGTCGCTCCCTGATGATGAACTGCATGTGCCGCTCGTGATCGCCAATTGGCGGTTGCGATATCTGTGCACAAATCAAACTTTAATATTCCAATATACTACGTAAAACACAAGCACAATTTTTAACTTTGCAAATAAATATTTATACACTCGGACAAAAATCGCTCTCAAATTTCGACAATTTTTCTAAATCGCAAATTATTTAATTTCATTCTGCATTTTTAAAAGTATTTTTTCTAAATATTAAGGATTTAAATTTAACATATTATAAATTTAATTCGAATTTTGTTTCTATATTTAGAAATGATTTTGCAAAATCAAAATATTTTTCTGGTTTTCAGAGCGATTTTCATTTTTCTGAGCGTACTTTTTTAAGTATAAATGCAATATATTAAATTTAAAATCGAATGATTTCATAGCTGCCTCAACAGCGTTGCACGTGAAAAATAGGTTCCGATTCTGTCTGAAACCTTTACTTGCATATATAAAAATAGCGATTCTAATTAGTAATAATTGGAGTTGCGGCATGGTTGACACTTGCGAGTGAACACTGTAGGTGTGTGTGTGTGTGTGTGTGTGAGCATACCTTGTGCAAAATGAAGGGGAGCAGGACAATGTAGAGGGGCGTGCGATGGGTGACCACGAATTCCATGAAGCTCCACAGATCGGGAGCAGCCTCGTTGCGTCTGCCCAAGTCGCGCATTACGCGGACAATGCGCGGCCAATCGCTGGACAGGCGATTCTCGAAACAGATGCAGACGATGCGCAGAGCGAGGAACGCGGCCTGATACAGAGAGCCGGAGATGCGAGCCGGGCGCTTAGCATCCCGGCTACCGGTGAAGGTGAGGGAGCCGGCGCGCAGATCACCGGTGACACGATTGATTTGGGAGACCACCTGGCCGGTGCGGCCAGCTGGCGGACTCATGGCGTTGAGCACGGCGTTCAGTAGGAAGGTGACATCGGTCATCTTGAGCTCACCGACATCGGAGACACCGCGTCCGGAGCAGACCTTCAAGCACAGTGGCATGATCAGATGCATTAGAAATCCTTCGGCCTTTTCCTGCGTGGCAAACTCGGCGCTGCCGCCACATATCTGGACGAGTGAGAAACAGTCGACGGGACTGACCACTTGGAGGGCAACCAGACGCACCACGGCCGAGCAGAAAAAGGCCGGCGGATTCTGAGACATGAGCGCTGCACCTGCACTGGACACGCCCTCCGGTATCCCGCTGCCCGGCTCATTGACAATCAAATTCTGCACCGTTGATATTAGCGTCTTCATCTGCTGCCAGTGCAGCACATACGGATGCCGGATGATCGTCTCGTGTATACCCTTGAGCAGCCCGGCTGCCGCCTCCCAATCCGTATTGCGACGAATCGATGGCTTCTTCGAGATCTTCAGGAACACCTTATCGATGCGACGCAGCACAGTGACAAGTGCATTCCTCAGTGTATCATTTGACCACTCGGCCCGTGGCAGCACCGATTGCATATAGCGCTGCAAGCCCCGACAGGCCATCGACTCCGGATCATAGGGTGACACCTTGAGCAGCGAGTGCGCGATATCCGCCAGACGAATGTGACACTTGGCGTCCAGCACCTCGCTGAGTTTGCTATCGTTAGCCGGCAGCTTCTTGGCCAGCTCACCCAGCCGTGTGGTGGACTTGGTTAGGAAATCCGCGACGACGGAGAGCAGCACGTCTCGTGGCCGCCGATACTCGGTGCGTATCATCTCCGAATCCTCGGCGGAGTCCATCATGTTCTTGGTGCGCGGATCTGTTGCGTACTTTGTGTGCGACTCCTCCTCAAAGTCCATGCCCGGGGAACATGGCGGTCCGCGACTGCAGTTGCGCTGCGAGGAGCCCTTGTGCTCCGGACTGTTGCGATAGGGTCCGTTGTAGCTCTTGGCCAGACCCTCGCAGTTATGCACCATGGTCCGTATGGCCACAGCCAACTGGAGTATAATGTCTCGCTCCGATTTACCCTGCAGCGGAATATAGCTGGGCGACTGAATCTGTTGCAGATAACAGGGTAATATGGCCTCCAGAATGATCTAAGGCAGATGTTGAGTAAGAGAAGCATCTAAAGAGGAGAAGCATAAGATGTAATACTCACAAGCATTTGGTAGCCACGTGTGCTCTCCGCCGAATAGGAGACGACCATCACGCACAAGGTGATGCAGTCGAGCACGGTGACATCGTCGTCCTCATCGTGGTAACAGAAATCGATGGCCTTCAGTGGCTTGGGCTCTTTGACCAGCTCGGCAATGTTGAGGGGATCCGGTGAGGGATCCTCAAGACTGAGCAGCAGATTGAAAAGGCAGCTCGATTGCACCTTGTGCGCCTCGCCATAGGTGCCATCCTCGTCAGTGTCGAGGATGGCCGACACCGAACCAAACATCTGTAGAATGAAGGGCTTCCGATTGAGCAGATAGAATTGCTTGACGGCATACTCGATGGTGGTGGTAATTAGCTTGTTGGTCTGATGCAGCGAGTAGACCTGCAGCAATGTGGGCATAATCATAAAGTAGCCATTTGTGGAGAAGATGTTCTTAAAGTTGAATGCGGCATTGATGAATGTGGCCATCACATAGCGCATAATGCACGAATCCTCAGCATGCAGTATGGACGCACCGGACAGCACATTGAGGAACAGTTGTATGTCCGCCGAGTAGGCAAAATTTCCGGCCATTGCCTCAAACATGCGGGCAATTAGACGCACCCACATAAACTTGTGCAGCACATCCAAGCCGAGCAGCACTTGGCCATATTCGCCGCCATGATGCAGATCCAGGTCCACTTCGAGTGCCTTTCGGGGGAACGAGGGCAGCTTCATCAGCTCCTCGTGCAGGAAGACAACACGTTGCACCACCATGTCCACATTCTTTAGAATCGCCCACGTCAGATGCACCTTGCCAATTTCGACAAACTTCTTGGTCAACTCCTGTTTTTGGAGCGCCAGAAATGATTCCTCCGGACGCATGAGCATTAGACGCACCTCCGGATACTGGGAGCGCTTGAAGAAATACAAGTCCCTTATATACCAATTGGGATTTAGTATTTTACCTGGAATAGATTGAATTTTTAGAGGATATCCACACATTTTTACATAATAGTTAATCAGGGTATAAATTGCAATAAATGTTAAACTGTTCAATTAAGAAACTATTCTACAAATAAGCTAATTATTTTTAAGACGATTTTGTACGAATTTAATTAGTTAAATTTTCAAATAAATAGATTAAAAAAGGAAGATAGCTCATAAATTGAGAATAAATCAATAATTTATAGTTCAGCTAATCTGATTATCATCGAATTCTAGAAGTTTTAATAAATAACATTAATAGTTATTTAAATAACTTTAAGAAAATATCATCGTGGTAAGCAAGATGAAATAAATCAATCTGGTACAGCTCTATTAAAGGATATATTTTCTCATTCATTTTAACTTTAATATGAACCACTTTGCGTCTTTGTAAAGTTGAGAGAATGGAGGTGGCATCTATGCCCCCCTCGCCTTGCCTCCCCCCGCGTACGCCGATGGCTCTACTCACTGCTCTTGTAGTCCACCAGGCAGTAGTGCGTGATGCTCTTCTCATCAATGGGATAATAGTCCAGTGCCTCCTTCAGCAGCTGACAGAACAAAGTGTCCTCCTGCACGGGAAATTGTGAGGGTATATTGTAGTCATCATCCGCTGGGCCATGCACCACGATCTTCTTGGCGGCCGGCACATTGGCTGTGAGCAGAATGGATGCATCGCACTGCTCCTTGCGCAGTATCTGTTTCAGATCCTTGAACATGATGCCATGCACCGAGTGCACCACCATCCACAGCACCGACAAAGCAGAGCCCACAAGCTAAAAACTTATAAGATTAGCAGCTACTATTTAAATATTGGTACTCGAACTCACCTCCTGCTTGAGCTCGTTGGAGGAGCGCACATAGAACATGATGTAGCCAATGATGGAGTTGTACAGAGCAAAGGCCGCCTGTTGCGGCAGGCGTGGCACAAAGCGAATCAGATGTCGCAGCAACTTGAACATCTGATCCTGACGATCGCGAGTCAGTCGCTCGAACACATAGCGCAGGAACAATGCCGACTCCTCGACCAGGCACACCCAGATCACCTGATAGGCCACCTCATACACAGCATTACCATCGGAGCCAATAGCTGCATCATCCAAACAACCCACAATCTGCATGACCGAGGAGCACAACACCGATGGGAACAGCGAATGGGCGTGATGCAGATGCGAAGAGGTGCGTGTGCCATCCAGATCCTCCTCGATCTCGTGATCCTCGTGCTCCATGCCCGGCTCATGGGAGGCCTGTTGACTTATTGGTATCATTGTGATTAGGAAACTGTGTCGCTCCGCACGCTGCTTGTCCCGCTGCTGTCGCAGAGCGTTGCGTATCGCCTCCGTTTGTTGCATCTTGCGGCTCTTTGTGGCAGTCACCAAGGAACGCTGTGGAAAGTTAAGATAAGTTTAATACGGAGCTGATAGCATTTCGAAATTCAAATCAACAAGAAATGCAATTAATTAATTCCTTTTTAATCTTAACTTCTCATTTTTTAAAATAGTTTTTTTTTAAGTAAGAAAAATTTGTCGCTCACTAATTGAATTAAAGATATTTCCTATTTAATATTTTCTAAAGTATATCTTTATGATATATTTTTAGAATAAAAAGAAATTAAATCAATCAAATCCTTTTTAAACTCAACTTTCTATTTTCGGAAACAGTTTTTTTTTTTCATTCTAAATTCTCATAAAAGTCACAGTAAAAGAATTTCTCAATCACTTGAGATATACCTAATTCAATTTAAAATGTTGTAAGGGTTTTTAAATATATAAATATAATTTTTTTAGTAGAACTTTGCGAAATTGGAGTGAGTAATGCTTTGTAAATTTTATTTCCGACTTTTCGACTACCTAAAAGTATTTCAATCTTACGATTTCTAAAGTATCCAAATAATTAACGTAAGCAACAAACTCTGGTCAGATGACAGATGACCTCACTTACATGTCGGTCCTGGTTGAGTGTCATGTCCATGTCCTTTGTCTGCTGCACGGGCATCCAGGGTGGATCAACAACGGGCAGACTTTCGATGCCAATCTTGGGTGAGGGCAGTGTAAACTCAATGCCGCCCGGTGGCACCTTGAAGGTGGCATCATGTGCATTATCCTCCATGCGCGGCCAGACATGGAAGCGACATTTCCATAGCACCAGATACCGCTGAATCGCCCCAATGCGTATATCAGGATTCTTGTGCTTCAGCGCCCGTTGCATAATGTCAAAGGCGAAGTTCTGCGCCTTCACGGAGCCCATCAGGAAGACGGCGGCACTGGAGGTGGCCGTGTCATGATTGGTTTCCAGTAGCAGTTCCCAGGCGGCGGGCATGGCCTCGATGACCAGCTCCTCGCTGAGCACCACCGCTCCCTTTAGCATTGTGGCCAGTGGAAAGTGGAACAGATTGCGTATGTGAATTCGTATGAATTTCAATATTGGTGGCTCTTCCTGCAGCTTTTTTTCTTTCTCCTGGCGGAAGGCTCGCGCTAGCTTCTCAGCCATCTCAATGTCCGGATCGTCGCTAATGCTGCTCAAACAAGGACCACATTAGAGATGATATTCCAAGAGAGAGATGATATTCCAAAGCTCGACTTACCGATCCTTGCGGGACAGACTGTCCTTACGCTTAGACGGAGAGGTTTGCGTTGAACTTTGCTCCGATACCTTGCGCGTCGAACGGGCTCGAGCTGATGGCTTCGCGGTACTTATTACCGTAGGCTCCACAGTGGGATGATCTGCATCAAAAGTGAATCCAAACTCCTCGCCATAAATCTGTGAAATGCAAAGCAATGTATTTTTTACATAGAGTAATGACATTTTAATGTGCAGAAAAGAATCATTTTAGCGCTCTTACAATAAGATTCGAATTTGTATAAGTAATATATTCTCTATTCGAACATATTTTTATGTTAATATTAATACATCTAATTTGATTACCTTGCGGGTTGCTTTAATAAGCCTCGTGCAGGAGCGCATGTGACGCTTGTAGCAGAAGGGATGACAGTAACCCTTGTGGGTGCAGTAGTAGTTGTAGCTGGTGATCAAGTCGATGACTGCCTTTAGCCAGGGCATGTTCTTGGCCGTGTCGTCGTTCTCATTGGAGTCTGTCGGCGATTCCGGCTGCTGATCATCGCTGAGTATGCCCGGCGATTCCTCGCCCCCGCTAACCATACCCTGCTCCGATGTATCGCTGCGGTCCGACAGAGAGGAAACCTTACGTCTCGACGCCATATTGACTATGTGTGGCAAGTATAAAATGTTCAATTATATTCAACTATATACATGCAACGGATCGACATACAATCTGTTTCGATCTCCTTGCTGTCCTTGGTGTTGCGGCGCAGCTTCAGGGAGCGCCTCTTGAAGGAACCACCCGTTGTGGTGGCTGTGCCACGTCGCAACAAAAATGGTCGCACCGCCGATGCAGTGGGACGTCGAGCTACTGTTGGTCGAAAAGTAAATATGATTAAATATACAATAATAGCTGCGATTACAAATTTATGAATTTATGAGTATTTTCCTCAAGGCAAGATTGTGATATATGTATATATATATATGTATATTACAATATCGACCTATTAGCATCACTTACCCTCCTCGCCCTCCTTGGTTAGAGTGGTGTTGCTGCTGTTCTCGGACTCGTTGTCCGGTTCGTGCAGCACAAAGGATATTTTGCGCTCCGTTTGGCCAGCGCCATCGTTGCCTGCTGCTATCGACTGCAGGCTTTGTGCCGAGGTCTGCGAGTGACCCATGGAACTGAGCGCCATGGACCAGCGGCGATTGGCCTCGCGATACACCTTCTCCCAAGGTGCGGGCCTGTCCCTGTGCAACATCTTCGAGGTCTTGGGCAGCGTGATGTAGGTGTCCCGCAGAAAGGCGGTGATCTCGAAGAGCAGCACGCAGGCGATCAGTTTCAAGGCATGCGGACAGTCATTGCCATGCGGATTGACAGAGGTCTCGTCCAGGAAATCCTCCTCCTCATCCTGCTGCAGTAGTTCGCGCTGCTTCTCCGGATCGGTGAGGCTCGCGTTGAGCGCCTCGTACTGTAGTCGTTCGGTAAACAAGATCTCCTCGAGACGCGCTCCCACCATCTCTGCCCATTGATGGAACATTTTGCCGGCTGCGCGGAGTAGGATGTGGGTGCGCCGGGCGCTGGACTGGCTGACCTGTTGCCGCATCTGGGCGGGATTGATGTTGGCGCCCGAGGCACGATAGCCGCCCACATTCTGCTTCATCCAAATGGGCCACTGCCCCTTGTTGCACAGGTGCACAAAATGAGCGCACTCCAGCAGAAAAGTCGCCCGCGTCACCAGCGGTGCTTGCGGCTGAAATTTGAGTAAACAATTTAAACTCAGTGGCAAACTTGACAACAATTTTCTTTATAGACGACAAAACTTCTCAATTCTAAGTACAATTAAGACTACAATTGTACTTACCAAATCCAAGACGGCGGCGACCAGCTGCGGATCGGGAAATGAACCAGGCGCACAAGTCTCCAGTAGAAACGAGAGTCGGAGCATTCCGATGCGAACCGGTTCAATGGGCACCAGTTTGCGCTCCTTGAGTATGACCACCTCGGACTCGCGTGGACCGTCGCACATGTCGGAGGAGCTGCGTCGGCTGTAGTCCGCTGTCTCTTCGATGCCGCCCACCTTCTTCTTGCCCTTCACAATGCCACCGAAACGGTTCAGCCGTCGTTCGACGCGTCGCTTGGCGCGCTGAATGGAACGGCCGATGCCATCGCTGGAGCGACCCCGTTGGATCTTCAGCGAGGCGTGCCGCATGAATGTGGACGATATCTCTGGATTTAGCGAGCCTATCTCCAAATCAATCGACGACGCCTCTTTGGGTGTGCCGCGGAACCAGCGCACCAAGCCGCTGAGCCGTCCCAGCGAATTGCGTTCCGAGCTGGACGTGGAATCGGATAGCAGCGCCCGCTCGCTGTGCCGCGGTGTCAGCGTTGGCCTCACTCCGGTGGTGCGACGCCTAAAGTTGCTCAACGGCGATTGGCTCGTCTTGTAGTGCTCCTCGCAGGGCTCCGTCTCCAGCAGGCTCTGCGCAAATCAAATGAGGCGGATCAGTGATTTATTTAATGGCTAGCAACAAGACTCACCACGGCGCAGGCGGAGGATGTGCTCCGTTTCTTTAAAAGCAGACGCCGCTGCGAGCTTTTGTCATCATTTTGCACCACATGCGGCACATCTGCCTGGGGTATGTGCCTGAAGACGAAATTTATGAATAATTAAATCACTTAAGCAATTATTTGAAGTTTGTAACTTTAAAAATAAAAAAAGGAATTATTGTAATTCACTTTATAAAGTATATCAAAAAGATAATTGATATTTTTCAAATGCATTTCTAAAATTAAAAAAATAAATAAGTAAACTCTCATTTTTGATCCTAGCTTTGTTCTAATTTGAATGTCATTGCAAGTATGCTTTTTTGCTCACCTGATCACTCTGGTCGTCTGTGCCGTGGGTCCCTTCTTGTGTGGACGCGGCGTCACTGCCAAAATGCCGCTGAGTGCGACCAGGCGAAAGGGTCCGCCGTGGGCGCCCTTCACGTAGGTGACCAGCTGTCGGATGTCCCCATAGAGCGCAACATTCTCGGGCGATTTCAGATCCTTGCTGGCCTCAACGAATCGACTGACGAGCTGTTTGAAGACGGCGCCAACCACTTGACCCTCGGCGCCACCGCTCATGCCGCCGCTAAAATTTGTGGAATACCCGCCCTGACCTGGTACACCGCCAAGATCGGTGTTAACATTTTTATATCCACTCTGACGTTTATGAGCTATTTGCATCATCATACATACATACATATACATATATATATATATATACAACGTACGAGTAATTGTTGTTGGTGGATCAGTGGCAAGAGGGGGTTAAACTCAAAAGCATTAGCAAAAATCGTCGCATGCAATAAGAAGAAACCGCAGATAAACCACACACCGAATAATTTGCAAATGAAGAATTAAAAAGAGCAATTCACTTCGGTATACCGAATATTAAATACCCTTGCAGCTGATAAGTTTGCGATGATTTGCGAAGAAAAATGTTGACTAAACAATCGGTTTTCCACATTTTATAGATCTGGCTTAAAATTAATTTTAAAATATTATTTTACTTAAATAAAATACATAAAATATTCTTAGAATAAAACATTTATTGAAAAATATATATAATATGTTATTTAGTAAAACATTGACAAGGACGCAAAGCTTTTAAAATCGGATATTTTTTTGGCTGTTTTCCAAATCGGAATTTCGAAGAAGAAATGGTACAAAATCTTTGCAAGGGTATAATGAAACGAATGAATAAGGAATTTGCTGGTAAATTATAATATTTGCAATTGGGATTAATTGGTGCATTATCGAAATTTTGCTCTCCACACACAAACTTGATTAACAAACGGAATTGGTGTCACTTACTCAAGGGCGACAACAGAGAACTGGGATCCACGCAGAAGGCCAGAAACGCATGGAAGTAATCGATGAGATCCAGTAGTGGTGAGGTCTTCACCATCTCCTGCAGATAACGCTTTGTGCGCTGACCAGCCTGTCGCAGCATCCTAGACAGAATCTTCTGGCATTGATTGCGTAGAAAATCAGCGGGCGGTCCTCGAACACCTTAAAATTGTATTGGCCAAAATAAAAACAGTTAAAGGAATGGGTTTAAGTGTACAGGTATTGGTTATGGTGAAATAAGTAGATGAATGAGATAAGACATGAGAATATAATTGCAGCTTCTTAGCTATTCTTCTAAACCCTGCAAAGCAGTCGCTGTCTGGCAGCCTTGGAACCATACCATTTTTTTAAACAGGAGAACTCACCATCGTTGCAGCCATGCGGGCAGCCGAGGACCTGGAGAGCACGCCGTGTTATGCCCATGGAGATCTCGTGGGCATGCTCGCCCAGTTTCAGCACACCCATCTCGATGAGTAGCTCACAGATGTTGAGGCCTGCCTCGAGCACGCGCAGCGAGCAGAGCTGCGATGGATCTCGCTTAAACACGCTGCTCACGGCCAGCAGAACAATCTCATAATCAATGCCGCCATCGCGCGTTATATAGAAGGATGAGCCCGGCGCCTCCGATTCATCAACGCCTGTGTAGTCAATATGGGAATCCGTATGCGAGCGCAGCATGGGTCCACGGTAGCGAGTGGTGGAGCTGCCACCACCAGCACTACCATTGCCACCCGCACCGGCAACACTGCCGCCATTACTAAGTGCATCCAATTGCGAATCGATGGAGCCCTTCGAAAGAGACGTGTCATTAGTAAACGGATAACCGGCGAATTGACTGCCAACTCACCTGCCGCTTCATGTAGTCCGGTGAGGGTGTGGGCGTGTGCTCTGTTACGGTAATAATTGGATTGCGTGGATAGAACGCGGAACGCGGGCACGTGGCCAGTGGTGGCCTGGCGGTTGCCTTGGGTGGCTCAACATATCTGTAAGATCTGGCATTTTGGAGAACATATGCGAGAGGCGTATGTGCATTGGCATTAGTCAAAACGGCGTGCGATAAACTCAACGGCAAAAGCAAATACTTGATGGATTTTGGAATAGTTATTAAAATGAGCCCGTTTTTTCACGCTCATTGTAAATGTAATATGCTGTCGCAATTATCTTTATTTGCTGAGTTAAATATGACTAGGCAAACCTGCTGATTGCAGTAGCATAATAATTTATTTACATTTATCTTCCAGGACACAACAGCCCTGAACTTTACAACAAGACATGAGAGAACGGGTTTTCAGTATTTACAAACACTTTGAGTAGGATAGCTAGTAAGGAAAAGTATTCAAGGGGTGGGTGATCAGGCAAACTTTAAAGTGGAAATTCAGTAACCATAGATAAGATAAATATAGTAATAGCATAGACACAGTAGAAAGTTAACTTTGTGTATGAATAGGCGTATAGACATTGTAACCAGGTTGTAGACCAAAACTCACCCGCTATCAAGCAGACAGCTGGTTGTTTAGTTCATAAAAGACAGTAAGTAATACATGATGTATACACAGATTTATAAATTTATATAGATAAAGGAGTAGTCTTTGGTATTGATGTGGATAGTTGAATTTTGTGTGACTGTTGCTGTATTCTTTGTGTGTCAGTGGCCTAATTCAGAGTTTGGTGGCATTTGGTGGATTTGCTTACCTTAAGCTGGGCATAGACTTTCCCTTGATGAGATTACTGGAGGGCTCTCGGGTGATCATCGAAGCAGATCGTGACAGTTTCTTCTCACCCGTATCGAGGCTGCGATGGTATTCCTAGGCAAAAAGCAAATCAATGAGAATTGTTAGTGGCCAGTAATTTCCATCAGCTTTGTTAGCTAACAATTAACTTTAGTAACAACATATGGAAAGGGTTCGAGATAATATTTGGTGATTAAGCGGGGCGGGGTGCTAGACCTTCAAGAGCATAATCAAACGAACGCGTGCTAACGGTATTTGCCAGGTATTACTAATAAGTTGAAGTGATAGCTTTCATAGCTTACTGCATGTTGCAGTGGAATCTTGCCATTGGCAGAGTTTGTATCGAGCCCTACTTTTTCCAGATTCTTCTCCGATTTCGAGAACATTTTCGTCTCCACAAAGGCCCTCAGATCAGCCATCTTGACGCGTTTCTTTTTCTCGCTACCTCGACGCTCCGAATTGCTAGGATTGCTCTGCGTTTCCTCTGCAAACATTCAGAAATATTAAAGATGTTTGGTTTGACAAGGAAATCAGCCAAATAATAAGCTTACCAACTTGTGTAGTTGTAGGCTGGGCTGCCGCTGCCTCGGGTATTTCAATGTAGTCTTTGACCACGGAGCTGCCCGGACTATCGCGACTGTTGCTGCCGGGTCCCTGGTACAGGGAGATCTCAATTTGTGGTATGGGCAGCGAGTTAGAACGTTTTCGCGGTTGATTTAATGTTATTGCTGCCTCATCGCCAATTTCAGTGAGTCTGCAAAGCAAAGCAAAGCTGTATCAACTAACCAATGAATTTGTCGTAGATGTCACACCTGTTGTAAAGATATTGCAGGCTCCAGAAGATCCCCTCCTCCTGCCAGTGCGAGATGAACAGGCAACGCATTACGGACACATCCAGAAAGGTGGCAGCTGAAACATCAGCTTTGGCACTCTCCGAATTGACCGTATCCGACTCTTTCTCAATGGAGGCGCTGCGTTTCTCCTTCATGGAGGCGCCACGTGTCAATTCCTGCTGGTCGAACTCAAACTTGGTCGAGGGCACCTTATCCTTCTCCCGTGAATTCATCGACTGATGGCTTCCCCGGCGACTCTGTGACTGTTGTTGCTGTTGCAGCAAACTGGCATCGGCCTGAAAATAATCGAGTTGATTTGTTGTTGAAGCTGTGTTCGGTGGTTAGAGTTTGCTGCTTACCGTAAAGAAGGAGTTATCCATGAGTTGTGGTGCTGAGGGCAGCCTAAAGATTACGACACGTTCATCTTCAATGCTGGAGGCTTCTTCGGGAATGGTCTCTGGAAAGAACTCCTTGGGCGAGGACACCCAGGAACCCTAAAAGCAACCAGTTAGTTTTCTATTTCGGATCGGGGAATAATCATGTATTGCCATACCTCATCATCCTGCTGGCCATAGTCGGTGATGCCGCTTTGAGGCGAGTCCGCCTTGGGTGAAGCGGCATCGGGGCCCAGCGAATGCTTTCGACCCTGAAACACATCCGTCGAACCTTTTGGAGTGGGTGCGCACAGCAAATTGCGCGCCTTGGGCTTAACGGGTGCTGTGAAACAGGGTGCGCCTGGTGCCCGATTATCCCACATGCCCTGCCACAGTTTAATGCCATTCTCAAGGCGAAAGTTTTGAAAGTCCGATTCTTTCAGATGATGTATTATGGGCGCAAACAAGTACACAAAGAGCTGTAAACAGGGGGGATCATGGAGGGGACCAGCACATCAAAAGGAAAGCATTTGAAAACATACCGTTATAGTTGGCACCGAGAACAAATACTGATCCAAAACCTTGGGCTTAGGATCAGCAGCATCTCCCAGGCCGAGATCATCGCCACCCTCATCATCGGCGCATTCCTCGGCGGCATACAGTAATATCCATTGCATGGTATACAGCAATTTTGTCTCAACTGGCCCAATTGCCTGCATGTCCTTCACGCGGCCTGAAACAAATGCAGATGAAAGAATACAAAATATTTATTGGCAGTTTATAAAAAGTATTGGAAGAGCAACAAATAATTGGAAATATATTGAAAAAATTAAAGCGACGAAAACTTACAATATAAAGAGAAGAGCTGCGCAGGCGTGCATGACATGAGGTAGGGCGCCCTGTAGGAGACGCCAGCGGGGGATGGCGCCCAGAGCTTTGGTCAGTGGTGGGGACAGACCAAACTGAATGTTCTGCACCAGAACCTTCTCAAAGGACTGCAAGGAGAAATGATTATAAATTAATAGAAAAGATAAATCGTGTATTTCTTACCTTGCAGGCTTCTTTCGATTCCTTTGATTTGTGTGGGCAATTAAAGAGATAATTTACAAACAAAGATTAGCTCAATATAAGTGAGATGAACTGATGCTCAACTTCAACTCAAATTAGCTACAATACAGCAACAAAAATAAGGTTCTTCAAATATCTACAAACATATAAGCAGTTCGAAATAATATTAAAACTGAGCTCAGAGCATGCAAAACAACAAATTTTACAAATTAGTAGACATACTTAATGTTTAATACTCATAATTTCTATACATTTTAAATTGATTTGTTAGTATTCATGTAGTAGTAGTACATACACAGAACATTTATAACTTACATGGTGTCCCGGTGCGTGTTGACAAAACTACATTCAGATTCAGACAAATTGCGAGAGATTTTACAATGTTAATTTGTACAGTTTGTTTTGTTGGTTTTTTTGTTTTTTTCGTTTGTTATTGTTTTTATCGTTAATTTATTTAAAGCATTATATTGTCAATAGATGGTTAGAGGTATGTGTGTTTAGTTTGTTGTGTTGGTTGGCGTGTTAGTAAATTGTGGAAAACAAATCAAAAATCGAATGCAAAATGAATCAATTAAACATCAAACATCAAATTTAAATATATTTATATAAATCGAATTTATTATCGAATTTCGAGAGCAGGATTTTCATGAAAAAAGAAAATGAAAACAAACTTAAAATTTACATATAGATATGTCATATTTCATATGGTAGTTCCAAATTGGTTGTGCCAATCGTACAGATAGTTATACACAGTCCATCCTTACAAAAACAAACACGCATAGCGAATTTACAGCACATTTTCATTATCGTTTTCATATGACCGATTTTTCTTTAATTAAATACACTTGCAGTGGCTATTATAATTTTGTGTATGTGTCCAAATCGGACAACTAAATCTGTATATCTTTTATTGGCAATATAATCTAAAATAATCTAAAACCATCAAATATTATTATTGTTATAGAATGATCGACATTGTGTGGCTAAAATCAGAATATCAATTAATTTGTACAAAACAGTACTCGTGGCAAATAATTGTGATCAATTTCTCAGTTTTGTATGGATTTATTGAACTATTATCTTAAGTCGAGCATTAGTTATATGAAAAGACTTTCTATGTCTATATCTTATTTATGAGCATATAGCAATTTTTGGTGTATTCAAAGCAAAAGCAATAGCTTTTCAATGTTGTCCACAACATTATTATTATTATTCTTTATATGATGCATGTGCAAGAGTATTTCAGCTTCGACAAGCCGAAGATTATTTTCAATTTGTTTTTTGCTGTCTTAGGCGGCACTTTCACTTCAAGATTTATGTTAGCCAATAAATTGGCCAGGCTTAAAGTTAGCTTCACATATTCAGAAATATCTCATTTGTTAAACTTTTTTGGCTGACACACTTACCATGCAACTGGCCTCATGCAGTTTGCCGAGTCGCGGTCTGATGAATGGCGCTATTTGACGCCACAGGAATGTTTGCACGGACACCGGCAAGCCCAGATCCTGGAGGCCATCGTCTTGGTCAATGTCAAAGTCATCGTTATTATTGTTTGGCGTGGAGCTGTTGTTGTTCGCCTGCAGATTGTTGTTGTTCGTCGCATTGGTCACCATGGTGGCCAACAGCTGGAAAACAAGGACACACACACACACATGTATGAAATTCAATGACATGCAACTGTTGAGCGAGTCATTCATAAAAAAAAAGACACGGACGACATTAGCATGCCAGCCGCAGCAACAAGTATTTGCGTGCGCAGTCTCAGCAACGGAATCCTTGCCCCAACCACGCTGCAACCCACTACAGACTTCTACATAGGTCAGTGCCAAAGCCAAACAATAACAAAACAAAATCCCGACAAATATCTCGCAGCAGCTGTGTGCTCTGAGTGCTCATTTGTCCTTGCTGCTCCTTGGAACGTTCGGCTGCGCAGAACGCAGACTCCGCAGCTTCGCTGCTTATGGTTATAGATACAGAATTGGGGCTTTTTGTTATACATGCAAATTTTGTTGGGGGGGCAAAAGAAAATTTTCACAGTTTGGCACACTTATATAACCACATTTGGAATCTATTCGGAATTTACTATTTCTTTGCCATATCAATTGTCGCAAACATTTAACACGCACTCAAAATCAAGCGTTTGTCTTTGCCATATTTATGGCCAGCAATTCGTTTGAATTGAGACCGCACCCAGTCGACAAACAGAACAATCAGCCAAAAAGGGTTCGGACTGCGGACACCAATATACCAGCTATGCTCAGAATTCTGGGCACAACTTAAACGTTGACTAATTGCGCGCTGTATTTAATTTTGTTTGATTTTTATTAGTTCAATTAGCGCAAATTTGTTTTGTGATATTGCTTTTACTTTTTCTTTGAGGTGCGTTGTATTTTTTGTTGTATTTTTTGTTTTTTGTACCTTGATTTGCGCGTTGCCAGTTTCGATAACGTTTACGGCTGGAGCGTTCGGATGCAACTGGGACAAAGCGTCGCGGTCGTTAACTGACGACGCTATTCTCATCGTCATCGTTATCCTTCTCGTGCTCCTCGTCGTTGCCAGTGGGCCAGGAGTGCGTATACAGACACATACCAATGCATATATGTGTATACACATTCGCCGTTAAGTATACGCACAGCCACCCCCAAAAAGGGCTTATGCTTATACAGGGTGCTCAGTCAGTAGATGCAACCACGCATCAGCTTCAATTCAACGCACACACCCTGTACATTTAGCGCACTTGTCAATGATAACACAAGTGGCGTTTTGTCTCTGTGAGGGTTGAAAATTGCGTATACGTCACGTTGTCGGTGTGCGTTAGCTGCTCGAACATCGCTTTATTTGACTCCCCTGGCTTCTGTTCATTAAAGCTACTATTGTGTTTCGGCTAAAGAAACTTGAAACCATTAAATAGGTTGTAATAGCTGCTATAAAATATTATATGCAGTCGATACCATCCCAGATGCACTTGAATAAGTCTGAGTTAAGTAAACTCTATTGTACAAAGTGATTGAAGTATATTTAGATAAACATTTGCTTTGCTTTTTATTCGACTTAAATACAGTTCAAATTTCATACAACTTAATGATAATTATAGCTTCACACAGCTCCATCAATATATAAATTATTCGACTTAATTTTGTATCTAATGCGAATATTTCTCACACATTTTCGACATTGGAAATGTTTCAAATTTAAAAAATACTATAAAAAGCAAAACTTTTTTTACCCAATAATAAAAATAAATATTTAGATAATCATAAAATATAAATTATTATTAAACTTATACTTAACTAACATACAATATTTTTGTTTATTCTCTATTTCTTTATCAATGAACTGCGCACTTTGAACTGCGCAGATTTTGGACCACTTATCAGCTGCTCAGATAACAGCTGATTTTATTTAAGCCGGCCCAAATAACATGCATCAATTGCCACTACTTCCCCCAACTCCTGCCCCACCCACTCCAAGCGGGCAACAGGTTGTGCTTTGTATGAGGCTGCGCAGCAAAAGGCCGAAACGAAGCTCGGCAAGAGATGAGAAGAGATATTTTGAGATGAGAGCCATTGAGAATTGAACACGACTTGGCTTAAACAGCTGAGCATAAAAGTGGGTCAAAGAAGGGCCCGTTTCTGATGTCAAGGACAAGGACTGCAGTTAGAATGAAATAGAAATTGAGGTAATTACCTAACTGGAATTTATGCCTTTTAAGTTGCCAAGTTCTATATAAAAAGCTAGATCTATTAGCGCATATATATATATATTTATATATATATATATATTTATGCATGTGGGTATATAGTGGGAATGGCCCCACATGAGTATATGCGTTGTAGATGAATGCTCTGAATACATTTGGTGTATCTGTGTCATAGTTTTTATAAATAGCACACATTCAAAAAATTTGTTGTAGACACAAATACAATTGGATGCCAGAGGCGACTACATAGAGCTATGGCTAGTAATACGCCTTCTATGTAGATGAGAGCGACAGACACACTTTATAGTGAGCGAGTGTGCGAGCGAGAGATCAACACAGGAATAGCTTCCTTCGTAAAAGCATAAAAGAAAAATCAAGAAATTATATGAAGAAAGATAAGTAAATTCAAATTACGCATTTTTAAAGCTATTCAGGTGTTTTTTTTATATTATTTTTTTTAAAAACCCGGCAGCCAAAAACATTTTGAATGATAAAATGCGAAGCTTTCAAAACTGGCGATAAAATGCGCTCATCTTGCCAAAGAGACGGATCATGGTCGCTACGTATTTAAATATACAACTATATGCATATACAGATCAAGAATAAATATATATATATATTTAAATATATGATGTTTGTGTGGTGATTGCCCGCATAAAAACAATAATATCCCACAATGTTAAAATATTATCTGCAAAATCATGTGTAACATCATCAAATGATATTCAACACTATGCGGCTGAGAATGCCACAAGTGATTATTGTTTTGCAAGCACAAAAAAGAAAAAAACGAATATTTATATATATCTTAAAAATAGCCCAACCAGAGAGCCCAACAAAAAAGAGAGATCATCATCGACAGAGAGAGAGAGAGAGAGCGAAAGCCAGAGAAAGACAGACAGAGAGAGAGAGCCCTGCCATTTGAAAATGTTGCCCAGATGAAAGTAAATTCTTGGCCAGCATATGTTTCTATGTGCATATATATATATAAATATATATACATCTATATGTATCTGAACAGCCTTGCGAGCATTTTCATGATGTTCTCATGTGTATCTGTGTGTGCATGTCCGTGTGCGTTGCTGCATGTGTGTGAGTTGGCCAAAATCGCTGCTGGGTATCACCTCAGAATTACCTTGCCGTACTGCCACTGACGAATAGCGTTCAGTCGAGACCGAGCTCATCCGCGATACAGTTGCTTTTCGCATTCAATAGACAAAATGGTGAGTGCCGAGTCGCCCATTGGCTTGATGGGGGAAAAAATAAACTCTTGTGTTCCTAAAGAGTTTTCCTTGCCATTAGCAAATCTTTAAATGTGCTGAAAAAAACTTGATTTTATTTTTAAAAAATTCCACAAACTATTACTTTCTTTCGACAGGCTGATGTTCCAAAGCGTGAAGTTGAAAGTAAGTTGAGCCACATCCAACACACACACACACACAAAACAAAAAGGATTATAATTCTAACCTCAAAAATAAAATCAAACAAAATATCTGCACATACAAATGCAAAATGGTTAAATAATGATGCTGTTCGAGGACTACAAAGCTCCATAAATAAAACATTACAAAACGTCATTGCCATGAAAAAGGTCAAATTATCATTGTGAATGTAGCTAAAAAAAAAGTGATTACATAATGTGCGCGTGTGTTATATATACATATATATAAAAAAAAAAGAAAAAAATCGACATTAAGTAGAACCCATCCGAATGATGCTATGCAGAAATGCGTGGGTGCAACCCACAAAGTATACATCAAATGTCAAATATTTATTTCGTAATCACCAAATACACATACATATTATAAATATATATATATTTATATATATGAACTAAGTGTATATACATATAAATGGGATTAGCGGAAAGTTTTCAAATTAACCAAAATATGCGATATTCAAAGGCAAAAAGAAAAAAACTCGATCCATAATCTAGTGTAAAGATTGTGAGGAAATCATCAGCGAAAAATACGCTCACAATGGAAAATTTGTGTATATATGTATGTATATCGTAGTATATGGGAAGAGCGCACGATCTAATTTTGGCCAAGTTATTTCGTTGAATTTATTTTCGTTGAAACGCATGGCCAAAGAGCAGATGCGTGTATGTTTGTGTATCTGTGTGTGTGTAGCATAGACGAAGGCGTTCGGGTGTCGGATTACGTATACGTATATGTATGTTCTTCGTGTTGGCAACGCTCCCACGCACACACACACACACACAGAGAGACATGCACACAGATACGTAACTAATGCGCCGCCATGTCAAGATTTTCGTGATGACCAAAAATGTGCGTACCCTAAATTTCAGGGTTATTGAATTTGTCCTCATTTAAAACAGTTTTCAATAGTTTTTTTTTCTTTCTCTTAAATAAATAATAACGAAATAAAATAATAATTGAATCCCATTAGAGTAATTAATAATTAAATTGGCGAAATTGCATCAATTACTAATTGCAAAATAATTGTGTTTATGCAGATGTCGAATTCGTTTTCGAAGTTATGGGCTCCCCCAATGAGGGCATTGATGCCGTCGATCTAGGCGATGCTCTGCGCGCTCTGAACTTGAACCCCACCTTGGCGCTGATCGAGAAAATGGGCGGCACCAAGAAGCGCAACGAGAAGAAGATCAAGTTGGACGAATTCCTGCCCATCTACTCGCAAGTGAAGAAGGAGAAGGAGCAGGGCTGCTATGAGGATTTCATTGAGTGCTTGAAACTGTACGACAAGGAGGAGAACGGTCAAATGCTGCTCGCTGAATTGCAGCACGCCCTCCTGTCCCTTGGTAAGTGCCCAGACCCATAGATCACTCCAAAATCCATCCACTTATTTATCATATTTATATTGATCGACAGGTGAGTGTCTGGATGATGAGCAAGTGGAGAATCTGTTCGCCGACTGCATGGATCCCGAGGATGATGAGGGCATGATCCCATACTCTCGTAAGTATAAACTGCTGACTTGAATCTGCCTCAAATCCAATGTCATTTATATTTGTATATTTGTGATATGTCATAATGTGATTTGTATTCTTTACATGCACCCACTTGTCTACGCACATATATATTTGTTACCCAATCAACCAATAAAACAATCAACCAATCAATCAATCAAACAATCTGCACCCTGCACAATACTCCTCCACACCACTCAATCTGTCAATGTGTTCTTTTGTGTGAACCACACACCATCATCCTGCACCACGCACCATGCACCACTCTGTCGTGTTTTTGTGATGTGGTTTGAACCTGTAGAGTTCATCCAGCGCTTGATGAGCGATCCCGTTGTCTTCGACTAAACAGTAAGTTGTCCTCTTGTCTCTATCCGTTTAGATGTCATTCTTATCTCATAATTAATATGTTGCTAATAATAATCTTTTATCTCTCTTCTCACAGCATTCCTTGCAAGAATGTGTGACAGACCAGATGCGCTATAAATAAATACCATCAAAAACAACAACAACAAAACAACAACATCAAACAACAAATTTATAGCAAACAGCCATTCTCCATAGATGTTATATTCATCGCTAACTCTCTCTATCTCTCTCTCGTATATTATTTTAATTAAATTTTACTTCTGCTACTACAACTGCAAAAATTGAACTTCAAGATAATATTATTTTTTAAAAAATAAAAAAAATTTAAATTATAAAAAAATAACGAAAAAAAACTGAAAAAACAACTACTAAGTTTCGTGCTAATTATTTTGTTGTTCATGAAATTTTTTTAAGTTATGATTATTTTGTGTTTTCTGGTTACATACATACATGCAAACCATTAATTATGATTATTCATTTGAAAAGACGCAAATAAACCAAGTAGCAAAAGCAATTCAACTGTTGCAACAACATCGGGATATATGTATAAATATATATATAAAAAAATAGGTATACATTTGTGCTTAGTCGGATAATGGTTTTAAGTCTTTTATATGCAAACAATACAGAAATGTTGTACAGGGGATCTCTGGGGCTGTCGGCTTATAGACTCTTAAATCGTTGAAAAAATAAGACTTGGATAAAGAAAATATAGCTTCTATTAGTGCAAAACATGATTGACAGCTTGGAATAATTTGTCATCACATACAAATTTCTTCGAATACAAATTATCGAAAAAACGTTGTGAAAATGAACATTCTAAATTAATCTGGGATACAAAAAACACGCTTAAAATACTACCATACTTTTGAAATTTAGAATCAAAATAAAATGCGCTTTTGGCAAACAACTTGTTAGCCTATAAAATTTGTTTATAAAAATAGCTCAGGTGTCGACTATAAAAACAAATGACATTTTTATTGCTAGGCAATATATTTTCTAAAGCTAAAATGTATGATAGATGAACGCACCCTAATTATGAATACAATATTCAGTTTTTCATCTTTGGCAACTGAATTTCAAATATTTCATATTGTTGTTAAAAAATCAACATACTTTTCAAAATGAAAATCATAGTATTAGTATTAATACTGCCGAGTGTAGAAAGACAGCAATCCGAACTCAACAACAGATGGCGCTCATGCATCAAAGCTCTAATGAAAAAGCTCTTTCTACGTTACCCCTGCGAGTGTACTAAAAAGCATAAACGCAGCTTGCGCGTCTGCCGAGCGTACGTTAATTAGGAATTTCAACGAACTGAAAATCAGTTGAAATCGAGATAACAAACCCAAAAGATACTAGCGCTCCGCTAACGCTTCAAATTTGCATTGTTAAACCAAGAATTTAATAAAAAAATAATAATAGAAAATCAGCTTTGCCTTCTTAGCTGAGTGCAAGTGAAAAAAAAGTGCAAGAAGCAAAAGCGAAATATTGTCAGCATTATTATTATTAAATATATAGTACATATTATTTGGCCGATTTACAGTGCGTTGCTCTCTCTCGCTCTCTCTCTCTCGAACGGCAAGTGCATTAGAAAAAGCAACTAAGAAGCATTCCAAAAAAATAGTCGGTGAAAAGTGCAAAAGGAAAAAATCAAGATATACCTCAGAGATACATATATTATATATTAAATTGTGGAATACACACGACGAGCAAAAAGTTAAAACGCACACATAAAAGTCCTGTTCTGAGTGCAGTACTCACACACACACAGACACACTTAAGCACACACACACATACAGAGGCACTTTCAATATGGCGGATGTCATGGAGAAAAGCTCTGTGCTGGAAGCTGCTGCTCTGCCAGCAGTAATCGCTGATACGAGCCCCATGCACCCAGTGCAGGCACAACTGCAACAGGAAGTGCCGCAACAACAACAACAACAACAACAGCAGCAGCCGCAGCCGCAGCCACAACAACAACAACAACAGCAGCAGCCGCAGCCGCAGCCACAACAACAACAACAGAAAACGGAGCCGGTACCAGCGGCAAGCGCTGGACAGGAGCAAAAAGGTGAGGCTTAATGACTTTGCCATCAAGCATACGCCATGGGTTTACTTTGAGGCAAATCAATTAGTTAAAACTATGACTGCATTCAAAATACCATTATCCTTAAATAAAATCTGAAAATGAGCAAGCCTACACTTGAAAAAATTATTCACTAAAAGTCAAATCGCAAAGATGTTTGTGGCAAATATATATTTATTTTTTTCTTTACCTTTTCAAATTTGATGTCTTATATTAGAAGTTTCGGTCTTAAATTTTTGAAATATTTAAGCTGCTTCAGTCTTTAATAAAATATTCTAGAATTCATAAAATGAATTTTTAAATTTTGGAAACTGTACCATAAATAATACCATGGGCCGTCGGTAAATATTGAAAAATGTTGTCTTTCAATAAGTTGAGATACAAAAATAAGGCGAGTCTTTTTCCATGTGTGCTTGTTGTGTGAAATTGAAGTTGACAGGCATGGCAACTGTTTTTGGGCAAAGAGTTGTATATCTTTAAGAGCAAGATTTATTTGCAGTGCATATATCTATTATATGGCTCAATTAGCCAAAGTGTGGCAAACAGGCACACCCTAGGAAAGTGATGGTTATGCCAGTCGAACATGCAGCACCATCATCAACAGTAAGTCACGTCATTCAGCGACTTGCGACTTATGCAAATAGATTTGCGCCTTACTTTATTTGTTGCTGTTTGCACAACTGTCGAACGGCAACTAAAAGAGTTGTTTGCGCTTATCACGTCTGTCTGAAGAGCCGTACTTACCCATTTAAGCCAGGGCTAAAGGATGTTGGGCTATTGTCTCGCAGGAGCAAGGACCTGCAAGCCAGACGCTTGTTTTAATGCCCAGTTCCCATATTTCACATGCGCTGTTATCAGCTATTAGCAACTTGAGCTTAGATTGCTGTCTATGCCCCTCGCCCCAGCCCCCTCCCACGCTCCCAAATAGTGCTGCTGTTTGTGGTCGCTCTGCATTTGACCTCGTTTCAATTAAGCTAAATACATTTTGGCGATGGTATCTTAACTTTGTCACTCAGCTAGTCACATGTGTTTATCTCAGACTAAATCTAAACGAAATCGCAGTCTGGCTTTTTTCTACGCTCGTTTAAAAGGTGACCTGAAAACGAAACTGAATATGCAAACTTAAATTAAATAACATTTTAATTTACTCAAATGTCTGCTTAGCTCATAAAAATGTCAGCTTATCTGTCTAAATATAATCTGCCGGTTAAATTTAGTAGTGAATAGTAGTCAACTACTGCAAGTCTGAGACATATAAACACCCATTGAAAATATGCAACTTATAAACACTATTACCAAAAATTTATAAACTTTATAGATTCATCGGATTCTATAGAGAGACGAATGTAAGATTACCTTTATCTCTCGTAAACGTTTGGAAAACTAAAGAAAATATAGAATAATGACAAATAGGTGACATATTTATCCAAAATGTATGTGGACTTTCTTAATGAGTTGATAAAAATAGACAAAAATTTGTTTACTTGATATAAATATAAATTTAGATTCTGTAGATATCTGTAATGAGTTGATATAAAAGTCGTTCTTAGTTGCATAGTATTTGATTACCTTAAATGAATTAAAATTTTGCCATAAATTTGCCAGTCTTAGAGTATTTTTGGTGAGTTTTGACACAAATTGAGATTTAAAATGTTTGCTTTGTTTCACACACAGATATACACAGATACAGTGATATAGTTGCAAATATTCATAGTTCTACACCCCTGCCGTTGATTAAATCAAATGCTTAACTCAAGTGCAAACCGGCTCTGTTAAATAATCACAACAACAGCAACAACAACAGCAACAGCAGCAGAATTTTGTTTTTGTTTTTTTGGTGCTGTCTTACCTTAGTGCTAAATGACATAAACTAACAACAAACTGACAAAAATAAAAACAATAATAAAACTATATATATTGTTGTTGATAGCTATCAGTGATCTCTCTCTCTCTCTCTCTCTCTCTCTCTCTCTCTCTCGTTCACTCATTCTGTCATTCTCTCAAATGGTTCGCCTTGCTGTCATTCCCATGAAGTCATCAGCAGAGTCGACGTCAGCTTCACCTACATCTGCTCAACTGTTAGTCCAAAGCAGAGGCTTGATAATATTGCCAGTATATAGCAAATAGTTCATATTGATTATATACGCATACAGATAACAGGTGTTTTATATAGCTATACTGTTTAGCTGCATGGGTTAGATAAGTACACTCAGAGAAATCATACAGAATTTGTACACAAATCAAATACAAATGACCAGAGTCTTAAATCAGAAAACGAAACTCAAATTTCAAAGAAAGAAATACTATTTTTCAGCTTAAGTTGAGTACGATTTGTTTTTATTTCAAAATTCTACATCAGTTGCACTTATATTGGGAACATGCAGTTTCTCTGAGTGTACTGGTCACTTTTCTCCTATTGTCATTCTCTCTGTGACGCAACTGCTGCTGTTTGCCTGCTCATTTGAAAAGCTCTCTTGTGGTATAACTGTTAATCTGGTGGCGAGAGAACTCTTGCACTTTATAAATAGATCAAATTGACAATATTTCTGTCACCTACTCTCTAGTTTAGTGTTTGGTTTTTAATTAACGCAAGCTGAGCAACAATTTTCCATTTTCATTTGCATTTGCCTTTTTGCCTTTTTACCTTTTTGCCATTGCAATTGATTTTCCTCCAACTCTTCTCTACGCTTCTTTCGCCTTTGTCGCTTTTGTCGCTTTATTGAGGGCGTGCTAGATAATTTTTTTTATTTTTTATTTTTTTTTAAGAAATGTAAAAAATAGTCGAAGCACGAACGACTCTGCTAATTGTTACGGTTTCCGCTACATTTCACATATTTGAATAGAAAACGCAATTACCAAATATTTAGCGCCATATTCGTTTGTGTTAGCTGCTGCCACGCCCAGTTGCAAGCAACTGAAGCACGAAAATCAATCAAAGATTTGATTACTATTTCCTGGCCATGCATGGACCCTTATATGGAACTAATGATTAATTCGATTAGTGCTAAGTCGACTAATTGATTTATTCAATTGTGCTTTGGCTTGCCTGCAAATAATTGGAAAAGTGGATTTGGTAGGAAAACTTAATGTGCAAGCTTTATTCTATTTTGGTATGGAAATAGTAAAAATTGTTGCCAACATCCAAACTTAGAACATAATGTTTCTTTTGGAAAATTTACAATGAAAAACAAATCAAACGAATGTCGCCAATCCATTTTCCTATCTACATTTTAATGAAGAATTTTTAGATTTAAAAAAAATAGTTATTAACTAGATAAAACTGCAAATATTACAAGTTATAATTTATCAGCATAATGTGTCGAATTTGAGAGTCTTTACTTAGGCCTTCGATTCAAATCAGTAATAATGTCTTATATATAATTGACAAAAACTTACAGCTTACTAGAAAATAGGAAGAGACGAGTATCTTTCGGTCAAAAATCGTCTTCTTTTTCTGTAAAAGTCTGTGAAAACTAGAAAAGTGTGCCGAATCTGACAAGAGCATGAAATCTTTGCCAATTCACAGTGTATTTATGTGTGTGGAATGACCCTTGATGACAAGACATAATTTGAATGCAAGTATGCGCTGATTCAATTTAGAGCGACCCCCAATGTTTTCAGAAAGAGTGAGGGGATTACAAATGCATTGCACTTGATTATCGTAGATGCGATGCAACAAGGTGCACCAATTAATATGGGGAAAGGCGCGCCATGTTCATTTATTAAGAGCTGTGATTGCTGATTACTGAGCACTGAGTGTGCGTGTGTAATGAATGCTAATTTGAGAAGTGTGTTATTCTGGCGACTGCGGAATGCCGCATAGTTGCATAGTTGCTTTATTAATTAATTAAATTTTATTTGAGAGCCTGGCATTTAAATGTTTGATCAATAAAATGTAACTTGCTGATTAATAAACCCGTCAAATGTGAGCAATTACACTCAGAGAAAAAATAATAACACATTGTTTTCAGCTACACTTTTAAAATATATCAGATATCTGTGAAAAGACTTTGTCTTGTTTTTAGAACTCTAAAACTCATCTCCAATCTTGAGCAATAAATGTTTCTGAAAATTGCTTGAATTATATAAAGAATTAAATAATTTATAGATTATTTTTAACATAACTAAATAACAATTATATATAATAAAATCTAAAAACATATTTTGTTGCTGTATTATTTTTGCTTAATTCTACTTTGTAGATGATAAAAGGTTTTTCACATATAAAATTATTTTTGAATGTGCAAAATGTTGCAAGAGAATATTCTATATTTTTCTTAGTGTAGTCTTGGGGGGGTGGTTGCATGTGTCTGGGTGTTGGCTTAATTGTTTTCAGCTAACAACAAAGTGTCGCTTGTCACGCAAATTTCGAAGCGGACCCTTTTCCATTCGAAGAGCTGCCAACCAACCACCCAAAAGCGACACCCAGTTGACAGTTCATTAAACTCGGTCAAATTGATTGGAAATTGCATTGATTTCATTTTGGATTTAAAGGCATCACTTTCGCTCGGAGCAGATTTAACGTGAGATCTTGGATTGTTGTTGGATGTTTGTGAGATTGTGGATCGCATATTTCTGCTGGTTACCCAATGCTGCTTGCCTCATTTGGTAGCCGTCGCATAATTTGTTATTCTTGTTGTTGGCTTGGCCATATTGGTGGCCACATGTCGCCACATTTGGTGACACTGCGTGCGTGCCGCAGTTGCCACATTTTGTGGCAATCAATAACCGAAGTGCGTCAAAAACTACAAATGTTAAAGTTAGCCACAACCAAGAGGGCTATAAATACAATTTGACTATAAAGTCAAAGGTTGATTGATTGCTAGCCGATTCTTCTTTATCTTTCGATTCCTTTTACGTCTTAACTTTCTGCACAGACAAATTTCTCTGATAATATATCTTTTATGTCTTCCTTTAGTTTTTCTGAATTACGAAAATCGTTTAGAGAATTTTAAATATTTATTTAAATTAAGGACAGGCAGATA